TTATTAATTTGAAGATAGTATTAGATATGTGCTTGATGAGAAAAAATATTCACCTTCGGCTTCCAAATCTAAGAAACAGGAAGACCTACATTTTAGAGTATCATCGGAGAGATCTTTTATTTTTTTATTTTATTTTTTTTTACAAATAGTTTATTGTCAAATTAGTTTCTACATAACACTCAGTGCTCATCCCCAAAGTGCCCTCCTTCATGCCCATCCCCCCCTCCCCCCCACATCCATCAGTCCTCAGTTTTTGTCAGCATTCAAGAGTCTCTGTATCATCGGAGAGATCTTTTAAAACCTTAGTTAAATTATATTTGATTCCTAGGAAGCCATTTCCTAATTGTTACATTAACAGCATTTGAGTAACTAGTATATTTAGGATTCTGCAACAGGCCCAGGACTCTGTTCTAAATACTAATATTCAGTCACACACATGAATGAGCAAAGTTTCAAGATGATATCGTTAGAGAGCTGTTGTCAATAAAATGATTACATCTTGATAGGGATGGAATTCTAACCTCATTAAAGATACCACAGTACCTAAGTATTAAAGAAATAATACATTCCTGGGGTGCCTGGATATATTCCTGGCTTGGTCAGTTAAGCATCCAACTCTTGATTTCAGCTCAGGTCATTATCTCATAGTTCGTGAGTTCCAGCCCAGCATCAGGCTCTTCCCCGTAGCACAGAGACTGCCTGGGATTCTCTCTCTCCCTCTCTCTCAAAAAATGGAAGGGAGGAAGGAGGGGAGGGAGGTAAGGAGGGAAAGAGGAAGGAAGGAAGGAAATAATATATTCCAAAAAGTGGCCAAGTGCTCTCATTCACAACTTGGAGTCTATTTCAGATCTCACATTGCTGCTGGAAGACTTCAGACAAGCACTGGGCAAAACTTCAGAAGTCCTCATGTCTTCCTTGTGCCAGGAAGCTGGTCCCTTCTGGCAACCTGTTCAATTCTGCCTTTCAAGTTCCTGCCCATCTTTCAAAGCCCAACCCTGACCTAGGCTCCCCACTTTTATAACCTCTCTGAGCCCTCCCTTCATGTTGCATGCTCATCTCTCTTGACAGATTAGGCATCTGTACTAAAAAGAACTGTATCTTTATTGGACTCTTTTTTTTCATTTTCTTTGTATTATGGTTAAGATATACATATAACTTAACCAATTTAGTGTGTATAGTTCAGTGTATAAATACATTCATAATGTGCAACCATTACCACCATCCATCTCCAGAATTATTTTCATCTTGTAAAACTGAAATTCTATACCCATTAACCAATAACTCTCTATGGCAACCATGATTCTTTCTCTCTATGATTTTGACTCTTCTAAGTATTTCACAAGTAGAATCATACAGAGACCAATTGTGACTGATTTGTGACTGATTTATTTCACTCACCATAATGTCCATCATGTAGGATAGGTTCATCATGTAGCATATTACAGAACTTCTTCCTTTTTGATGTTAAATAATATTCTATTGTATATATATGCATTGCATGTTGCTTATCCATCAATGAACTGTTTCCATGTTTTAGCTGTTGTGAATAAGGCTACTGTGAACATGGGAGTACAACTATTTGAGACCCTGCTTTCAATTTTTTTGTGTTTATACCTAGAAGTTGGTTTACTGAATCATGTGGTAATTCTATTTTTAATCTTGGTGGGGAGAACTGCCAAATTGTTTTCCACAGAAGCTATTCAATTTCTAACAACAGTACATAAGGGTTCCAATTTCTCCATGTCCTTGCCAACACTTGTTTTCTTTCTTTCTTTTCTCTGTCTCTCTCCTTCTGTCTGTCTGTCTCTCTCTCTCTCTCTTTCTTTCTTTTTAGTAGATGTCCTAATGGGTACAAAGCAGTGTCTCACCATAATTGTGATTTGCATTTCCGTAACTGTTAGTGATGCTGAACATCTTTTCATGTGCTTATTGGACAGTTATATGTTTTCTTTGGGGAAATATCTAATTCAGTCCTCTGCCCATTTTTTAATTGGGTTTTTGTTGTTGAATTTTAGGAATTCACTGTATATTCTATTGGTCACTTAACAGATATATGGTTTACAAATATTTTCTCCCATTTTTTCTGTTGCCTTATTACTCTGGATAGGGTCTTTTGACACACAATCTTTTTTTAATTTTTATGAAGACCAAGTTGTCTGTGTTTTCTTTTGTTGCCTGTGCCTTTGGCATCATATTCAAGAAATTACTGCCAAATCCATGGTAAAGCTTTTGCCTTATGTTATCCTCTAGAAGGTTTATACTTTGAGATCTTATATTTAGGTCTTTGATACATTTTGAGTTAATTTTTGCATATGGTGTTAGGTAAGGGTTCCACTTTTCTTTTTTTTTTTCTTTTTTTTTTGCAGATGGATATCCAATTTCCCCATCACCTTTTGTTGAAAAAACTGTTCTTTTCTAAAAAAAAAGAAAAAACTGTTCTTTTCTGAATGAAATGATCTAAGCACCCTTATCAAAAATCACTTGAGCTGGGGCACTTGGGTGGCTCAATTGGTTAGGCATCCAACTCTTGGCTCAGGTCATGATCTCACCATTCCTGAGATCAAGCCCCAGTGCAGAGCCTGCTTGGGATTCTCTCTCTCCACCCCCCTCCCCTACTCGCATGCACTCTCTCAAAATAAATAAACTTTTTAAAAAATCATCTGAACACATATGTGAGGATTTATTTCTGGGTTCTCTATTCTATAACATTGGTCTGTACGTCTGTTTTTTGGCCACTACCACACTATTTTGATTACTGTAGCCTTTTTTTTTTTTTAATGTTTATCTGTTTTTGAGACAGAGACAGAACATGAGCAAGGATAGGGCAGAGAGAGAGGGAGACACAGAATCTGAAGCAGGCTCCAGGCTCTGAGCTGTCAGCACAGAGCCCGATGCGGGACTCGAACCCACAAACTGTGAGATCATGACCTGAGCCGAAGTCAGATGCTTAACTGACTGAGCCACTCAGGCACCCCTGATTACTGTAGCCTTCTGTTAAGTTTTTAAATCAAGAAGTGTGTCTTCCACCTTTGCTCTTTTTCAACATTATTTTGGTTATTCGAGATTCTGTGTGAATTTTGGGATGGATTTTTCTATTTCTGCAAAATGTCACTGAGATGTTGACAAGGATTGCACTGGATGTGTAGACCATTTCGAGTAATATGGACATCTTAATAATATTAAGTCTTCTAATCTATGAACATGGGATGTGTTTTATTTATGTCTTAATTTCTTTCAGCAGTGTTTTGTAGTTTTCATTGTAGTCTTTCACCTTGTAGTCTTTCACCTTTGTAGTCTTTCACCTTGGTTAAGTTAATTCCTAAGTATCTTATTGCTCTATTTACGCTAATGTAAATGGATATTTTCTTAATTTCCCTTTCAGATTATTCATTCTTAGCATGTAGAAATGCAACCAACTGGGGTGCCTGGGTAGCTCAGTTGGTTAAGCGTCCAACTTGGGCTCAGGTCATGATCTCACAGTCCGTGAACTAGAGCCCCGCATCAGGTTCTGTGCTGACAGCTCAGCCTGGAGCCTTCTTCGGATTCTGTGTGTCTCTCTCTCTTTCCCTGCTCCTCCCCCACACATGCTCGCTCTCTCTCTGTCTCTCTCTCTCAAAAGTAAACAAACATTTAAAAAAATTAAAATTAAAAAAATCTAATTGGTTTAATTTGTTAAGTCCTCTATTTTCTTACTAAGTCTTCTATTATTTCTATCTAGTTGTTCTATTAATTATTGAGAGTGGAATAGTGAAATCTTCAACTATTATTTTAGAACTGTCTCTCTCTCCCTTCAATTATTTTTTTTTATTTTTATTTTTTTATTTATTTATTTTTTTTTACAAATAGTTTATTGTCAAATTAGTTTCTACATAACACTCAGTGCTCATCCCCAAAGTGCCCTCCTCCATGCCCATCCCCCCTCCCCCCCACATCCATCAGTCCTCAGTTTTTGTCAGCATTCAAGAGTCTCTCATGGTTTGCCTCTCTCCCTTTCCCCCACCATTTCCACCCTTCTTCTCCCCCTTGTTCCTCCGTCAAGTTCCTCCTAATCCTCCTATACGTGCAAACATATGATATTTGTCCTTCTCTGCCTGACTTATTTCGCTCAGCATAACACCCTCAAGGTCAATCTCCCTTCAATTATTTTTTAAGTTTATTTACTTATTTTGAGAGAGAGAGAGAGTCCTTGAGCAGAGAAGGGACCAAGAGAGAGGGAGAGAGAGCAGGCTCCATGCTGTCCCCTGCAGAGCCCAATGTGGGGCTCCATCTCACAAACAGTGAGATCATGACCTGAGAGATCAAGAGCCAGACACTTAACCCACTGAGCCATCCAGGCAGCCCCCATTCTCTTTTTGCTTCATATATTTTGATGGTACATTAGTTGGTGGGTGAATGTTTACAGTTGTTTGGGCATCTTTAGTTTTGGTAGAATACTTAGCAGAGCATTGGCTTTTGTTAATTATTTCTTTAATCCATTAATAATTTATTAAAAATTTTTGATAGCAAAAATGATATAAAGGATTAAGTTGAGAAGTTCTATTATTTCTGAAAGGTGATAAAGCACAAAATCTGGTAAATTCTTTTTTAAAAAGACTTTCATAGAACCTGTAGATCCTGCAAACCCTCCCACAAAGAAATGTAAACACTGAGAAGTGGAAGGCAATTTTACTTTAAAAAATTTTTTTGATGCTTATTTATTTTGAGAGAGATAGAGCACAAGCAGGGGAGGGGCAGCAAGGGAGAGGGAGACACAGAATCTGAAGTAGCTCCAGTCTCCAGGCTGTCAGCACAGAGCCTGATGCAGTGCTTGAACTCAGGAGCCGTGAGATCATGACCTGAGTTGAAGTCGGACACTCAACCAACTGAGGCACCCAGGTGCCCCAAGGCAATTTTACTTTATATTTTTGGAATCACCACCATGATGTTTCATGAAAACAAGCATTGCAGTGAGGTTAGTTGAAATTCCCAGTGTATTCACTTGTTATCATTTCTTTTCCAAGCAATCAAGTTGAAGAAACATTTCCACTACTTAAAGAGGTATCTGCCAACTATATTTATTCAACTCTCCCAATGGGATTTTCCCTCAGTAAATCTGCTACCCAGGTATCTGCTATGCGTGTGGATTCAAAAGTGGATGATCATTTAATGCAAGGGACTGAGAAAAGCAAGTTGGAACCAGTCACTCAGTTATTTCAAAACACCAAGAAAATAAGATTAGAAGACACAAACCAAGAAAACTTTACAAGTAAAGAGATTGGCACAAGATCTCTTTCAGAGAAAACCTTGGGTTCTGTAGTATATGTTAAAGAAAATGATGGAGTAGAACTAACAGATGTGGAATGAAGTTATTTGTACATATTGCCAAAGACACTCGAAATTGCTTTTAGTATATGTGCTGCTGAAGCGAGCACTACTCGAAATTGCTTTTAATTAAGAGAGCATGTTGAATGAAAACTTACCCTTATTAGGAAAACCTAACAAAATGAAGGATGACAATTGCTTATTTTTCACTATTTATGAATCACCTTAGACTGCACTTTTTGAAACATATTCAAAAATGTTGTTTTAGGGAAAAAAAACTTTCCAAAATGCAAAGCAAAATTCTCTGGTGTTATATTCTATCTTTGTCAAAAATCAGAATTTTTGATTAACAGTATTTAAATGGTACTAAAACATTTTAATTATAATGTATATCTTTAACAAGTGATTAAAAAACAGTGCATGAACAATTTGACATCTGTATTTCACACTATTTCTAGTGTACCAATTTTTAATATTTCCAGTTTGGGATTTTGCTTTAGGGCACTTTATCTTACTGCATTTTTGCATGTCTCTTCTGTAAAAGATCACTTCACATAAACTCTGCAAAAGACCAATAAATTACATACCTTGAGAAGCAACTCACATTTTAAATCATCCTTTTAAAACTATTTTCCACACATTGAATTCATTTCAGAGTTACAAAATAGTTGTTTCCAAGTATAATAATTTATCTTATAGGTACTACCATTTTATACCACCTATATTTAATGTAAGAAAAAGTTTTGTGTTAAAAAATTCTTGCCTCATATGCATCAGTTTGCCATTCTTATTGAAATGTCTAGTAATTTGAGACAACAGTATTATCCCAAGTATTGTTAGATGAAATTAAAACCATTTTGTGTTGACATATAGTGACCTGTAACTATTTATATTATGGATGTATGTATGTTTTGAACATTCTCCTGTACTTTAATATTTACTGGCTCTCTAATGCTTGTGAGAAATTTCCTTAATATTCATAAAAACAAAGATGAAAAGGCATCTTCTTTTAGGGGAAACTATTTTATAAATCAGAAAAATACAAATGTCACATATTTGTAGGATATATTGATCCTAGAGTTAAATAAAATTGTTGAGTTGGACATAAGCCAATAAGATGCTGCTTTTTATCATTTACAGAACACAATTCTTTGGCAGATTAAAAATAAAAACACGTCATTCATTTGTTCACCTAACTTGGCACTGTGCTTTTTGATGGGGATATAGTAGTGAATAAAATAGCCACTACCTTCACAGTGCTTACCGTCTACCAGGGAAGATAGTATATCCTACAAGATGAAAATTATGATGTGCCATGAAGAAAAAGTAAAATGTTCAGACAGGAGCTTAAACACATAAATTGGATTTTTAATTGTGGGAACTAGGAACTGTTCTCTAAGGTCATATCATTTATAGCTTTTGCAGTGACATGGTTGTCTAAAGATGATGGTGATGGTTGAGATCTTAAGAAGGGTTAAAATCCAAGTGAAGGTTAGCAGGAGAGAGTGATGGTTTGAAAGTGGTAACTGAGGGAAAAGAAATGATTTCTAGCTAAAAACACTAGATACATGGAGGTTCCTTAGGGAAAATAAAGAGTTCAGGACCATGGTTTGGAGACATAACCCAGTTTCCAAGGAAAGTTGTCATTTGTATGTATGGAACTAAAAATATAATTTTTGAAGTTGTATACAGAAATGGTATTGAAAGCCTTGGGAATGAATGAAATTGCTTTAGGTGAATGTATAATGTGAGGTAAAGTCCTGAGGAACTCCAGCGTTTAGGAGCTAGTCAGCACAAGGGAGCTGGCAAAGAGAACTGAGGAGCTGGCAGTGAGGTTGGTGGAAAACCAAGACAAGGTAATGTCAAGATTGCCCACAGTAGTCATTAATGTGGAGGTAGTCAACTGCAAGGTTAGACAAGGATTGGATCTAGCAACGTGATATGTCACAGTGACCTTAGCAAAACCACTTTTGTTTTTTTTAACAGGGTCTTGGCTCAGATATTTACAGCCCTGTTCTTCATCTCCATGAATGTAACAGGATATTTGATAGTCATGCTTATACTGAATTTGGGATGAGTTTTCATTGTGCATGATGCCTCATGCATTGCAGGATGTCAAATATAGTAGCACACCCAAGTCATTGAGACAATAAAAATGCTAACATTAATCACCCTCATTAAGAACCGTTGCTGCTACGACACCAGAAAATTGGAATCCCCAAATCCAATCCAAGCCTTAGATTTAGTAGCACACCTGACAAGGGAAAGCCACAAAGGCTTACTGGAGGAGGTCAAATGGAACAAGCTTAATAAGGATAACAACCTCACTTAGGTGTTTGGGGAGGATTCTACAAGTGGAATCCTAAAGTAAGTACTTTTCAGAGTTCTGCTGTTTCTATGTTTTCCATATTAAAAAAATATGGTTCAGCAGAAATAAGGATGTTTAGGGAGACTTTAAATTCAACATATACATAAAATAGGGTGACTAAACCTAATATATATTGCATCTAATAATGTTGTCATGGATGCTAGTAATAAAAGGTTTCATTTATTGAGTTAGTGTGTGATCCCTTAGTTGGGATTCCCTAGAAACTGCCTGAGACAGGAATTCAGATGCATGTCATTTTTCAGAGTGTGCTCTTTAGGAAAAGCATGTAAGGGAATGAAGGAAGCAAGACAGGGAAGTAGGAGTCAGCTGAGGATGAGGGCTCAGATAAATTCTTGGCCTGATCCACAAGATGCTCTGGAAGGATATGACTGCACAGCTGTTCCATTACCCACTTTGAGGCAAAGGTTGGGACTATTGTGCTCCATACCAGTGAGGCCTTGGTTGCTACCACAAAGCCCAAGAGGGAGGCTAGAGGAGGAGAGAGGTAGCATGAATCACTCAGCTATCTGTGAACACAACAGCTCCTACATTCATAGCAGCTGGAGAATGCATGGGGGCATTAAGAGTCTTTATTACAGTGTCAGACACCTAACATACATTATTTTCCTTTTATTTTGAAACAGTCTCAAACTTACAGAAAAGTTGCTAGTACAAAGGCCTTTCCCTCTCCTCACAACCATTTGAGAATAAGTAGCTGGCCTCATTTTTCATCAGCCCTGAATACTTTTTTTTACTGATTTAAAGAATTTTATTTATTCTTTATTTCTTTTTTTCATGGAAATATTAACATACAACATTGGGTTAGTTTTAGGTGTACAACATAATGATTTTATATATGTATATACTGCAAAACAACACAGTAAGTTAATATCCATCAAATTTTTTTGTGATGAGGATTCTTAATATCTACTCTCAGCACCTTGTAAACACATAATACAATGTTGTTAACTATAGACATGCTGTACATTAGATCCTCAGAACTTACTTATAGCTGGAAGTTTATACCTTTGATCACCTTGACCCATTTCACCACCACCTCACCCCCCACCCAAAAAGCACTTTTGATAGAATGGGGACACAAGAACTATTGGAGTAGGTTGATTATGAATGGGAAGTGAGCGACTGGATGTGTAGCAAGTCCTTGAAGCTCTGCTCCAAAGGGAAGTATACAGGATGAAAGGTGGAAAAAAAAGTGGGGTCACTGGGGAATTGTTTTGATGAAGCAGAGTTCATGTTTGGGTGTCAGTGGAAGAAGGTTCCAGTGGAGGTGAATTAGGAGAAGGTTGAGAATAACCAGGGGCATCTGGGTGGCCCGGTGTTAAGCCTCCAACTTTGACTCAGGTGATGATCTCGCAGTTCGTGGGGTGGTGGAGCCCTGTGTCAGTCTCTGTGCTGACCACCCAGGGCCTGGAGCCTCCTTCAGATTCAGTGTTTCCCTCTCACTCTGCCCCTCCCCTGCTCATGCTCTGTCTCTCAAAACTGAATAAACATTAAAAATTAAAAAAAAAAAAGAATAACCAAAGGACACAACCACCTTAGTAGGAAATAAGGGGGAAAAAACTACTATCTCAGATTTCAGAGAAATGGAAATTAGGAAGGATGTAATATAAGCAAAGGGAAACAGTATTGTGTGGCTATTTTAATGAAATTCCAAAATGGGACAAAATCTGAACGGAATCCATTCCATCTGCATAATACAAGAAAGAGGAACTCAAAGTGACTTCAATCAAAAGGGTAACGATAAATGAGCCATTTGTCTTTATTATAGCTTTTTTTTTAAATGTAGCTTTTTATGGAGCCCTGATAAGCATCCCCAAATTGTGAACACTGGATGCTTCTTGTTCGAAGATGCAAGTCTAGGCATTTTCTATTCTAACTGAAAATTTTCATTTCTGTGGAAGATTGAAAAAGATGACCACAAATTCTTTGGACTTCTCTTATGAAGAGATGAGGTCCATTGCTCTATCCCTTATCTCTAGCCTGACTCTTTTGTTGCTTTGGCCAATAAAATGTGGCTGAAGTGTCTCTTTCAAGGCTAGGCGTGAACTGAGGTGCCCCAGGAGCCAGTAAACAATTGCCAGAGTGTGAAAAAGACCTTCCAGCTCAGCCAACCCTGGATGAATAAAGCCCCTGTGAAACCGTAGAAGTGTTAGAAATAAAAAATCGTTTTAAGCCACTGATGTTTGAGGCAGTTTGTTATAAAGCAATAATTAAATGAAACTTTGGCTTGCTGGAGGAATTGCCCACCTGGCTGAGCCACAAGAATTTTCTTGCCCTCTGAAGGACACCGCGGAAGGGTAACATTCATTAGCCTAAGCGTCTGTTTTCTGACCCACTCCTTCCCACCAGTTCTCCTCTCTGTATTGGGAATACCAGCGTTTATTCCTTTAAATGCAATTTGCCTTTCAAAACTGATTTTAGTTTACTCGCCTTCAGAATTATGTGCTCTTTGGACTGTGAGGAGATACGGAAAGACCCGGCGCAATGCCTGCCAAGTTCAGTAGGCATCTGCCGGTGCTCTGGCCCGGCCTGGCGTCTGACCACTGCTCTGGCTTTCAGGTGTCCTCCCCCTGGCCTCGCTCGGGGAATGCCCCCATCCAACCTGACACGGCCGCCTGTCCTACGTTCGCCCTGGGTGACCATTAGCTCTGCGCTGTCACGTGGGGAACTCCTATCTGAACGGGGGTGCTGTGACTTTCCTTATTACCATTGGAACGTGCACTGCGTCCCCGCCTCTAATCCAGTTTGGCGCCGGCTGGTCAACTCCGAAAGCCCATTACGAACCCCGCGAGCACCCGCAACCAGGGCGCAGGCCTGCAAGGCAGAAAAGAGCGGTCGGGCCCCCGGCATAGCCCCGCCTCCTCTCGGCGCTTCCGCTGCCCAGCCTCCCTCAGGCCTTGTGGGCAGTGGGCGGGGCTGGCCGCGCGCGCAGCCTGCCGGGCGGTGGGGGCGCACGCGTCTTTCTGCAGAAACCTGCGCGCACCGTGGGTAGGCTAAGCAGGTAGGCTAAACTGGAAGTAGTGTTCGGGGGCGCTGGAGCAGGCGGACCTTTGGGTGTGGGTGGTGGCCGGGCACCTGGGACCCAGAAGGCGGTGCTGTACACGCCGTGGTTTTCGCTCAGCGCTTGGAAGGACCTAACTCCACAGCTGGGTGCCAGCTGGGTGCGTTCCCACAGAGCCAAGAAAGCGAAACAAAACCTGCACAGGACTGTCGTGAGACTCTGGGTAAGTTATGTACTGTCAAAGATGTGGCAAAATAACAGGTGTTTTGAAGGAACTGGGCCTACATAGGATAGACGAAATTGTTATTTTTTACTTTCTGTTCAGAGTTGAAGCATGTTTGGTAATGCCAAATTGTGGTATCAAAGCGACCCCCTAGAATATGGAAATAAGGTTGTTGTCTGGGGAAATCTATAAAAACAGTCATTAAAAGGTAAGAGTAATCACATGCGGAGTTGGTTTAAAGAAACATTTTAGGGACACCTGGGTGGCTCTGTCGGCTTCTCCGACTTCGGCTCAGGCCATGATCGCCTACTCGGAGCCTGGAGCCTGCTTTGGAGTCGGTCTCCTTCTCTCCTCCCTTCCCCCACTCGCACGCACTCTATCCCAAAAATAAACAAACATTGAAAAAGAAAAGAAAAGACACAGTTTACCAGGCCTTCAAGGCTGGACTGTATCCTGACAATTGAAGAAAGATTGTCATTTAGCCAGAGTTCTGATCTGTTACGAAGCATTGAATAAAAGAGATTGACCTGTCCCAGATGAGTCCAAGCCGTTTCTACAAGAAAGAGGTTATCCTGGCTTTAACAGGATCTCTCCAGAGCCCACAAGTTGGGAAGGTGATTTCCACAAGGTACATTCCATCAGAACTTGAAACTCTTTTTCAGGTTCTGTACTCACCAAACATACTTATGATAAGTTGGCTTATCAGTAGGCCTCCGTAGAGTATTTGGACAGGCTGATCTGCATCCAGTTGATAGCCTATAGTTCTCTTTGTAAATTAATAAATTGGCACTTAGGTGTTTTCCAACATCCCTGTTGCCACTTTGCCTCGCTCTTTGTGCAGTTCTTTCTCATCCTTCAGGACTCAACACAGGGGTCTTTGTATTTATGTGTTCAGGTGCCTGCAACATTTTGTAGCACATAGTAGCTGCTCAGCCTTAACTCTTACATTAAAATGTTACCTATTTATGAAGCCTAGCCTGAAAACCCTATTTAGAATCACACCTAGTTCCTCTCACAGTTATATTTCCAACCCCCCTTTCCTAGTCTATTTTTTCATATATTCTTATCATTTTACTTGGTTCACTGACAAATCAATCCTAAGTGTCTAGAATAATGCCTGTCATGTGGTAGATGCAAGATTTGTTGTATTAAAGCCTTTGTTGTGTTTCATTCACACTGCATACATAACGCCGGGATGAATAGAAATATTTGTAGTTTGTGCACTAATAATACATCACTTGGATCAGTTCTGGAACCCTAACAACTTACGTTTTTGACTGAAGTCAGTATCTTTCATTATTGTTAATTTTTTGAGATAGGTGGCACTTTGATGTGTCTTGGTTGGGAATCTTTGTACACTTTTCTATTTAAGCTCCTGGAGGAAATAAATGTCACATGACAGGAATGATATGAGAAGAATAAAGTTGGAAAGGTAGAAGTCAATAACAGTTAACATGATAGAGCATTTTAGTTTGCCAGGCACGAGTGCTTTATGCATGTTAACATATTTAATTGACTCAACCATTCTGTGAGGAGGCTCATTTTATAAATGAGGCAGCTGAAACAGCAAGAAGTTAAACTCCTTGCCTTAGTAAAGGGCAGAGCCAGAATTAAAACTTAAGCTCTATAAATGACAATAGTTAAAAATACTGTATTGCATATTTGAAAGTTGTTAAAAAAGTAGATCTTACTAAAAGTCCCCATCACAAGGGAAAAAGTTGTAACTGTGAGGTGATGGATGTTAAACTTAGTGTAATAATCATTTTTCAGTATATACATATATCAGATCATTATGTTGTACACTTTAATACAATGTTATATGTCAATTATATCTCAGTAAAACAAGGGGAGAAAGTCCTGGAAGATCTTCATCACTTTGCATCCTGCCACACTCTGCACATGCAGACAAGAGACAGAGTCTTAACCTTAGGTGTGGATACATCACAGGGTCTTTTGAGAATCTCCAAATCCACAGACATCATTCAGTATATCAGGATCCACCACCCTTATTCTTTACTGTTTCTCTTTGGATCACTATGGAAGAGGTTCCCATTTGCTTTCAATGCTGCCTTCCTCCCTATCTGAATTGGATCCAACAGGTACCTCCCTTCACCAGTGTTGCCTACCTTCCCTCCCTCTCCAGCTTCCAGTGGGATCGGAACGTGCTCAGTTCTCTTGCATTAATATCTGCTGCCCTAGTTCAGGCCCTCATTGCCTCTGGCTTGTACAGCTGCATTATTGTTTTATCCAGTCTCCCTGCCCCTAATCTATCTTTTCATGCCGAACACTGCTGGCAGAGGCAATTCTGTATAACATCTGACTTAACACTTGTCTGCTTAAAACACTTCAGTGGATCCTAGCTGCTTTTAGAAAAAGTCCAAATGCTTTAGAGTTACATGAATTTGTCTCCTCTTCTTCTCTATTCCCTTACCATCTTGTGCATAGTAGGCACTCCATAAATATTTGTCCCATGATTGAAGGGCTATATCAAAGTCAGTCAAACAGAGCCAAGAACAGTTTAACCAAAGAAATCTATTCAGGCCTCAGAGGCTTCCCGGGACAGTATAGCTATAGGTTTCAGTGGAGCTAGAAGACCGATAGTGTCTAAGTAAGACTGAAGAAGGAGTCTCCAAAACAGGTCTTACTATTAGATGACTCTTGATCTTTGTATATACCTGGAATGTGCTACTCCCGTCAGTTTGGTAAACATCATCACATTTTGAGACTCAGTTCAAACATCCCTTTATTAAACCTCTTCTGGCCTTTCTAGACAGAGAAAGTGTAAATTAGCCTAAATTCTGTAGATTAGTTTATCAAAATATATCAAGAGTGGTGAAACTCTTATTTGTGCTTGTATGACATAACTACAGAAGATTTGGCCTAGTTATGGACTTTAATAACCCTTTCTATCCCCATTCTTTAACTCAAAGGAAAATTATGAGCATCCTAAGAAATAGAATTGGAATAGAATGGTTTCTTTATAACCATAACTGGTGAAAATACTTAATTATTATAGCCAGTATTTTCAGCCTTTTGCCATCAGCACTACTAACAAAAGTAATGTGTAAAGTGCTCAAACATAATGAAATTGTTCATAGCCTTTACGTATAACCCTATACTCAGATCGCCTCTTCCCTAACCTCAGGGGGTCCATCCTAATTAAATGTTAATCTAAATAAAAGGATTATATTGCTAGTAAATCAAATTTCAAAGTCAAATAGGAAGTATTTTTTAAAAAGTATTCTAAGGACATAATTAATGCTTTCCACAGAGATGTTCATGACTACACTGTTGATAACACAGATAAACTAGAAGTAACCTAAAATTACAAACAAAGAGAATAGGTAGTAAACGGGTATATCTCACAATGGAACATTATGTATTAAAGCTGATACAAAAATAGATTTAACATTGAGTGGAATAACAGTATGGTTCCACTTTGTGGGGGATGGGGAGGATAAATGTGTTTACACATGCACAGAAAAAAAATGGGTACACACTAGAGTGTTAATTGTGGTTACCATCAGGAAGTGGTATTATGAATTCTTTCATTTTGGACTTTTCACTTCTATGTGTTTTCTAATTTTTCTCAATGAACATATATTATGAATTCAAAATAATTTGTTTGGCTTTGAGATATATTACAGAGTGAATTTGTAGACTTATTATTTGAATAATATGTCCTTATTCCATTTCAACTGAAACTGAGGTTTCTCTTCATTTGTTTCCTTTGAGTACTTTTTTATAGAGTTGTCAAAGACTAACAGTAAAGGTAAAAGGCAAGCAAAGCAACTGGATACATTAAAAAAGTTGGATTAAATCACCAAGAATCAAGATAGAAAATGCAATTAAATTTTCTTTTTCTCAATTAATTTGTTTTTCTTCCATTTTTAAAAGCATGCTGATCCCATTTTCAATGAAGAATTGCTTCCAGTTACTTTGTAGCCTCAAGGTCCCAACAGCTGGCTTTAAAAGCACAGTAAAAAGTGGGCTCATTTTACAATCGATTTCCAATGATGTTTATGAAAATCTGGCTGTAGAAGACTGGATCCATGACCACATGAATCTAGAGGGCAAGCCGATTCTTTTCTTGTGGAGAAATTCTCCGTCTGTTGTAATAGGTAGACATCAGAATCCTTGGCAGGAATGCAACCTGAATCTGATGAGAGAAGAAGGTATAAAACTGGCTCGGAGAAGAAGTGGAGGAGGAACAGTCTATCATGATATGGGTAATATCAATTTGACTTTTTTTACAACCAAAAAAAAGTATGATAGGATGGAGAATCTGAAATTAGTTGTGAGAGCTCTGAATGCTATCCAACCACAGCTCGACGTTCAGGCCACCAAAAGATATGACCTTTTACTTGATGGACAGTTTAAAATCTCAGGAACAGCTTCTAAGATTGGCCGTACTACTGCTTATCACCATTGCACTTTGTTATGTAGTACCAATAGGATCTTCTTGTCATCTTTGCTGAAGAGCCCTTACCAAGGGATCAAGAGCAATGCTACTGCTAGCATACCTTCCGTAGTAAAAAATCTTTTGGAAAAAGATCCCACTCTGACCTGTGAAGTACTGATGAATGCTGTTGCTGCAGAATATGCTGATTACCATCAAATTGATAATCATATTAACCTAATAAACCCAACAGATGAGACACTGTTTCCTGGAATAAATAATAAAGCCAAAGAACTACAGACCTGGGAGTGGATATATGGCAAAACTCCCAAGTTTAGTATAAACACTTCCTTGAATGTATTATATGGACAGTCACATTTGGAAATTAAAATATTCATAGACATAAAGAATGGAAGAATTGAAGTCTGTAATATTGAAGCACCTGATCATTGGTTGCCACTGGAAATATGTGACAAATTAAATGCAAGTTTTATTGGCAGTAAGTTTTGCCCAATTGAAACTACTATGTTAACAAATATATTACATAGAACATGTTCTGAAGATGATGAACTACACAGTAAATGGAATATTCTCTGTGAAAAAATTAAGGGAATAATGTGATTCCAAATAAATTTCTTAATGGTTTTAATGATAATAAAATGTTTAATGTACTTTGTATGTCTATCTCCCCCCCCCCCCAACCCAAAGCAATCTCTACACCCATCATAGGGCTTGAACTCACAGCCCTGAGATCAGGAGTCACATGTTCTATCAACTGAGCCAGCTAGGCACCTTTATTGTATGTCTTTTATGTATGACATATTGTATGTCTTTATTTTATGTCTGATCTCTTTCCGTAACTATTCCCTATTCTGCAACTATTCACTATTAGGAAGTGTCACCTAGCCCATATTTTCTATTTTCTGGCCTATAGGATACATTATCTCTTTCTTCATTGCTTTTTTTTTTTAATCTACCACAGATACATATTTCTACTCCTTCCTCTGTTACCATCATGGGGATATATACCATATTCAACAGTGATCTCAGAATTAGTTATTTTTCTTACCTCTAGGGAATACAACCCATGCTTCTTATCACCTCTGAAACTTTAAATTCTAAATTCTTCCTTTTGATCATACAGTTGACCCTTGAACAATGGGTTTGAATGCATGGGTCCAATTATATGTAGATTTTGTTTATACAGTGCCATAAATGTATTTTCTTTCCCTTACGATTTTTTAATTTTTATTTTATTTATTTTTTTTTAGAGAGCACAAGAGGGCCAGAGAGAGGGAGACAGAATCCGAAGCAGGGTCTAGGCTCTGAAGCAGGGTCTAGGCTCTGAGCTGTCTGTACAGACCCAAAGCCGGGTTTGAACCCATGAATCATGAGATCATGACCTGAGCTGAAGTCGGAACCTTAACCACCTGAGCCACCCAGGCGCCCCTCCCCTCTTACGATTTTTAAATAACGTTTTTTCTAGCTTACTTTAAGAATACAGTATATAATACAAAATATGTGTTGATGGTTATTAATAAGGCTTCTGGTCAGCAGGCCACTAGTTAAGTTTTGGAGGAGCCAAGTTATATGTAGATTGTCAACTGTGCCACGGTCAGCACCTCTAACCCCCATGTTACTCAAGTGTCTTATCCTCCATCCTCTCCCATTTAAAAAGGAGCCCATTGCACTTTCTAACCCCTTAACTCTCCAAATCTCTTGCTTCCTCTCCCTTCCTACCTGACTCTGAATTCTTTCATGTATCCTGTCCTTTCTTTTCAGCATTCTCATTTGCTTTCCTCTCTTGACCTATATAGCCATTGTTTATTATTATTTATTATTATTTTTCTAACAACAACTGGTTTTTTACTTCTCTAATGCCCAGATGGCAGGCAATGCTGGAAGAAAATTCACATAACCATGCAGATTAACCCAATTTCATATTTGCAGTTTCCAATTTATATTTATTGTCTATTCAATTCCTTCCTCTCCATTGACTCCCTCATTCTTCAAAGGCCTTAATTACAAATGTTTCCTCTTTTTAAAAAAAATTTTAATGTTTATTTATTTTTGGAAGAGGGAAAGATAGAGCATGAGTTGGGGAGGGGCACAGAGAGAGGGAGACACAGAATCTGAAGCAGGCTCCAGGCTCCAAGCTCTCACCACAGAGCCTGATGTGGGGCTTGAACTCAAAGAAGGCAAGATCATGACCTAAGCCGAGGTTGGACACTTAACTGACTGAGCCACCCAGGTACCCCAAATGTTTCCTCTTAAACTCAGAACTGCACTGCTCTTTTCACAAACCTTGACTCCTAATTTGACAGTGAAGGCCTTCATAAATGAGCTCCATCAGTTCCCCATTTCTTCTCAACAATTGTCTTTCATTCTGAATTCCTTTTCCTTAGGGTTAATCCCTCTAATTGTAACTGGATCTTTGTCCTTTCAACCTGTTTGGGCCTTGTACAATCAAAAAATTATCTTCTTTATCTTGCATTTTCTCTCCATTTTTTACTGGATCCTTATCCAGAGTGAATGAACATCCTCATGTCTCTTCTTTCCCCCAAACCCCTGCTCAAGGTTTTGTTCTGTCTCTATATCTCTTTGGTGCCAAACTTCTTCAAAGGGTAAAATCACTACCAACACTTCATGTCTTTACAGTTCATTCACATATTTCTCTTATTTCTGCAGTATTTACTGTGTGTTTTTGGGTGCCTGCTATATGCCAGGTACATTGTAATTGTTGGATGTTCATGATGAGTGAAAGAGACAGATATGACTCAGGAACTGACAGTTTAATGTAACGACTTTTCAAACTTACTAAAAACTAGAGTAAAATACTATATATTGTGTACCAGCGTAGATATTACCTATGCCTAACAAGTTTTACAATGCAAGGTTTATCCTATACTATTTATTTGATATTTTATACTCAATTTTATTTCAGCTTTTAAAAACTGATTTTATGACCTATTAATAGGTCAAGACCTGAGTGTAAAAAATCTCAAGGCTAATGGCAAATGTAGACAGACAAATATATAGAATTGTAAAACAAACAAAAGCCCAGGTAGCTATAATAGACAATAATAGAGACTGACTAGCTAGAGCTATCAGGGAGAGGACATTGAAACAGAGACCTAAAGAATGAAAAGAAAGCAGCCATGCACAGTGGAGTGGGGAAGAGAGTATTCCCAGTTTTATCAGTTATCTATTGCTAACAAACCACTCGAAATCTCAGTGTCTTAAAAAACATTTTATTCTCAAATCTAGAATTTGAGCTGAGCTTTGGTGGGGATAGCTCATATGATCCAGTGGCATTAGCTAGGACAGCTGAAGGGGCTGGAAATACCTAGTTCAAGATGACTGACTCACATGGCTGGCAAATTGGTGCTGGCAGTTGGCTGGGAGCTCAGCTGGGGCTGTGAGTTGAGGGCTTCAATGTCTTTCCTCTTGGGCCTAATCAAGGCTTCGTGGATTTCCTCACAGCATGGTAGCTAGATTCCCAGAACAAGTGACTCAAGAAAGCCCAACAGAAACCATTTCCTTTTATGACCTAGTCTTGGAAGTAACATAGTATCCCTTTGGTAGTCATATGTGCATCCAGATTCAAGAGGAGAAAACATCAGTAGTTACCTCTCCATGGGAGGAATGTCAAAGTCATTCTAAAAATTGCTAGCATTTAAAAAAGAGGAGGCAGTGTGGCGCCTGGGTTGCTTGGTAAGTTAAGTGTCTGACTTGATTTCAGCTCAGGTCATGATCTCATGGTTCGTGAGTTGGAGCCCCACATCAAGGCTCTGCGCTGGCAGCATGGAGTCTGCTTGGGATTCTCTCTCCTTCTCTCTCTCTCTCTCTCTCTCTGCTCCTTACCTGCTTGAATGCATGTTCTTTCAAACACTTTTTAAAAATTATTGCTGGGTCTGGGAGATCTTACTGAAACCATTTTTGTAAATATAATCTGCCACACAGACTGGCATACAGGAAGGCCCTAAAGCAGTTAAAAGCTAGATTTTTTTTTTAAGTTATTTATTTTGAGAGAGGGAGAGAAGGAGAGAGAGCATGAGCAGGGGAGGAGCAGAGAAAGGGAGAAAGAATCCCAAGAAGGCTCTGTGCTGGCAATGATGCAGGGCTTGAACTCATGAACCATGAGATCATGATCTGAGCCAGAAACATGAGTTGGATACTTAACCAACTGAGCCACTCAGGCACCCCAAAGCTAGGTTTTTAATGGTGTCAAAGGAAGTATAGGCAAACTGAAGTGTGGGAATATGAGGAGAATGGAGCAAAACAAGGCTGGAGAGAAAAAGAGACTCGATCAGGTAGGGACTAATAGCCCAAAGTAGAGAGTGATTTTAAGTGCAATGATACTGCAATTCTTATAAAGACTATTCTGTCTGCTTTGTGGAGAATGGACTGGAGTGAAGGAAGATAGGAAGCAGAAAGCCATTTGGAAGACTACTGTAGGAATCCCAGCAGAGGTGATGCTGGCAATGGCCATGGAAAGATGCTGACACTGTGTTAAACACTTGTTAAAACTTAAGGATGACTTCCATTTTCAGGGTAAGGTTTAATTTTGATTCTTTTTAAAGGGAAACAATAAAGCAGTATATATTAGTTGCCAGGGTGGCCAACAAAATACCAGATTGGCTGGCTTAAACAATAGAAATATATTTTCTCAGAGTTCTGGAGGCTGGGAAGTCCAAGATCAAGGTGTTGGTGGGTTTGGTATCTCCTGGAGCCTCTCTCCTTGGCTTATAGATGGCTGCCTTCTTGCTATGTCCTCACCTGGCCTTTCTGTTACCAGAGAGAAGATCCAAACTCGCCACTCAAAAGCCAACACTCAAGCGACAAGTTTATATCAGGACGTTGATAACCTGGGAAAATGGCAGATTAACATCTCAAAGACCATCTTCCCTGTCCAGGGGAAGAAGGAGATTTTTTTTAAAAGGGAAGGTGTAGGGAATGGTGAGGGGACTATATGCAAGAGACGTTGGTACTCAGCAGTTAATCATCTGTCCTTGCAAGGTTTCCAGATTCTTCTGCTTTACCAATAATCAAGGCTCATTAAGTGTCTCTCAGTAAAGGATGTCCCTGCAGCCCAACAAGCCACGTCCTGGCAAGGCAGTCTGAACTCCTCCCCTGTACCAGGAATCAAGGCTTCCAGATGCCTCTTACTGAGGATACTATGGTCAGTGGAAGCTGTTTTTGAGTGCAGTTATGTCTTATCTTCCAGAAAATCTGGTTCTTTGTTCCTCAAGGTCAGCAGTCAGCAGGATCTCAAGGGAAGTAGGTTAGTACTGCTACAGAGATTTTGGTCAGCAAGCAAGGAGTGAATAAGCTTGAAGCAAGTTAACCCTTAAGGTTATTTTGAGAGAGAGGGAGACCAATAGGAGTGCTGCCCTCTCCCTGATAGCTCTAGCTACCAATACTGTATTTGAAATGCCTTGTGCCTCTGAGATACCCAGATGAAATGAATATATGAGATCACAACTCCAAGGAAAAGTTTTGGTTTAGTTTATAGATTTAGGAGCTGACAGCATATAAATAGTATTTTAAGTCCTATGAATGGTAATTGTGAACTATTATAATTCATCTGAAACAAAGTGTTTAGCATCTGAGTCCCCTTACTATGTCTGGGGAATTCTCCACCTCATAAACCTCAGCAGGAGGAAGAACCCAAATGTTGGAGAGTTCAAGAGGATGTGACTGTCAGTTGACTCTCAGACCGGATATGGGTAATCAGAGGCTTCCTACACCCTCCCCTGTCCTTAGAATATATGTCCCGCTCACTGTTCCCACACTGGGAACAACCTCAAGGGCTCAGCCTTGAGAGAGTAATATGTTGCTGAGACCATCTGGACTATATATGTGACTTGCATCCCATCAGGGCTTCCATGAACTCTTGAGATTCTGCAAACATATGCAGAGATTACTTACCTTGCAGCCACCTAAGACAAGCCTCATATGTAAGTTCCCTTGCTTATTAAACCCCACCTACCAATCTGGAGGGGTCTGCCTCTTTCTTCGGTCTCTCCTTACCCTGAGTGTATGGAGCCCGGTTTCAAAATTTCACCTGGGAAGCTCCAGAAGTTGCAAACCACCCCCACCCCCTATATGGAAACTGAAATTTTCATTGTACTCTTTTCCTAGCCTCTCTTGAATCTAGGGTGAGGGCATATGATTTAGGCTCTGTCAATCAGATGAACTTGCTTCAGATTCTGAATGGATCATAATGCAGAGAACCTGGGATGGTGAAAACCTTTCTCTGGCAGTAGTGACAGGAGCCTGAATTTCTGGGGTTAGCAAAGGTGCACTGTGCTAGCAGTGTATTGCCCTGTACTTTAAGTGATATAAGTAATAATAAGTCTATTCAGGCCAGGCCTTCCATTGGAGTCAGCAGTGGTATCATCTGATTAGTTCTGTGTTGTGGTTCTAGATGTGTTTTGTTGTTGTTGTTGTTTTTTGTTTGTTTGGGTTTTTTTTTTTTTTCACTGCAGAACCTCCAAGGCCAAGTCTGTAGCTCTTGTGGTGATGGACTGATAACCCACCAGTCTTTATAATCTCTGTTTTCCTTACATCAGGTAAGAGCAGTTTCTATTGCTTTTCACTAAGAAGTTACTGGTATAGGGGCACCTGGGTGGCTCAGTTGGTGAAGTGACCAACTTCAGCTCAGGTCATGATCGTGGTTTGTGCGTTTGAGCCCCATATCGGCTTTTGTGCTGAAAGCTCAGAGGCTGGAGCCTGCTTCAGATTCTGTGTCTCCCTCTCTCTCTGCCCCTCCCCTGTTTATGCTCTGTCTCTCTCTCTCTCAAAAATAAATAAATGTTAAAAAAAATTTTTTTAAAGAAATTACTGGTATAATCACTTGGGGGAGAGTGTAGATTTAAAAACAGAGGTTATTACTGTTTTTTTAATTTTAAGTTTTTAATTTTTTAGTTTATTGTCAAGTTGGTTTCCATATAACACCCAGTGCTCATCCCAACAAGTGCCCTCCTCCATGCCCATGCCCTCCTCCACTCCCCTTCTCCTCTCCCCCTCAGCCCTCAGTCTGTTCTCAGTATTCAAGAGTCTCTCATGGTTTGCCTCCCTCCCTCCCTCTCCCGCTTCATCCTCCGTTAACTTCCTCCTAATCCACCTATATGTGCACTTCTCTGCGTGACTTATTTTGCTCAGCATAACCAGAGGTTATTACTTAGTATCTAATTTAGGAGAATGCCAATGGAGGAGAAGGAAACTGTGTTTCTTAGAATTCGAGGGTTTCAGGAAGGGAGTGGCCAACTGGGTCAAATACTCCTGAAAGGTCAAGTAATGGGAAGAAAGTGCCCACTGAATATGGCAATATGGAAGTCACTGTTGACCTTGACAAGAGCAATTTCAGTGGAGTGCCTGAGTAGCCTGGTTGAAGTGAGTTGAAGTATGAATACGTGGGGAGAAAATGGGAAAATATTGAATAGAGAACTTCAAGAAGTTTGTTCATGAAGAACAAAGAAATAGGGTGGATGGTGTCTAGTTGGGGATGTATGTACTGGCAGCAACAACAGAGCAGAGAGGGAGATAGCTCAAAGGACAAAGTCCTTGGTGAGGTTAAAGGAGGCAAGATTAAGTCATTTCCTGAAAATTTGGCTATCTGTAGTACTATTAACCCTTTTTCTGTATGCTGTAAATCTCATCTCATGTTAACATTTCATGGTTCTCTATAGTCAAGTTTTAAATATTTACATGATCACATCTTTTGCTTGTTCCTTTCCTTGATAACTTGTCAGTTTTATGTTATACTTAGTACATTTAGTGAAATTAAAAAATTTTTTTCCATTTAATTAGCTCTTAGCACAATAACCTCAGTGTGGGGTAGAGATCTAATGTTTTTTCCAAACATTTCTTGAATAGTCTCTTTCCCCACTAATATGGACAACAAGGGCTCTTACACACATTCACTTTCTCTCAGATGTTTCCACACTCCTTATTCTGTGCTACTGTTTTGTCCATTCTTATGTCTCTACATTTAAACAATATATATATTGTAGCTTTATGTCTTTATATTTGGTCAAGCAAATCTCCTAGTGTTAGTCTCTTTGTCATTTAATTTATAAATTAGGAAGAACTGACATCTTATTAACCCTTCCCCTTCTGAGAATATCATTTGTCTTTCCCAAGTTTTTTTTTACATTCTTCCATAAAGTTTATAGTTTTCTCATAAAAAGACTATTTTTCTCAGAAAAAAAGTTCTTGCACATTTCTTGATGTATTTAATAAGTAACTTGCATCTGGTAGTCTTCTGATGTCCTAATTGGATCTGGAGATGGATTTCAAATATCTAGTATAATGGATAGCATGTCTGAAGGTGCTCTTCCTTAAATATCAATATCTCTTAGGATTCCTATGTGGGTTGGATAAAAGTTAATTTCACAGGGTTATAGACTGCTGAATCTCTATAATGATAGATTCACATGCTCTACAAGAAACCAGAGTTGTCATTTAACATGAAAATAAGGAGGTCTAGTACATGTTCTTACCTGAATGGAAAGCCATTCTGTTTTCACAGCATGGCAAACTAAGCTATGATACTTTGCAGAACATAACTTCTGTTTAGGGCCAACACTTATACCAAGTGCTGTCCTGAGACACTGAATTTCCATATAATAAACCTTGGCAACTGGATTGAGTCTTTTCAAGTTTAGCATTATCAGCATCTGAACCTGAAAACATTAAAGAAAAACATTAGGAACTTTTCTGGAATCCCTTCTTGGTATTTTGTGCCACATCAGTCAGGTGACTGATGGCTCCCAAAGGGAAAACATAAATCTGGTGTCCACGCCACCAAAGACCATTCTGCCCAATCATATTCCTGTGGCTTCTACCTGGCTTTGGTCCTCCACACTATTTAATCTTGAATGTAATCTTCTGTCTTCTCCATATGTGATGTTTAATTGCTTCTCAGCCTTTTGGCTAAGACCAAGGGCACATGTGATGTTTTTATGTGTACTCCCCAACACCAGTACTTCTGTTTCCTTCCATAGACTGTCTTAGCTTATTCTTTAAGCTTCTAGACTACCTGCCTTTATCCCCAATCCTAGCCTATCTCCATGGAATCTAGTCTTTGTCCCCAGCCTGTCATCTGGCATCTGGATGGATAAGCTTACCCAGAATAGTTGATTCTAAGCTGCAAAACTTTACAAATGTGCCAGCCAAGGTTGAATGGTGCAAAATACATCCGTCCATATAATTGGGTTGATTTGCCTTTATGGAGTTAGGTAATATTGGATAACTGAATGTTAGTGAACTTCTGCCAAAGACACTTAATTGTAATAAAATTAACATTTTTTCCTTGGTTAATAGACCTACTAACCCATCTGTCGTCTTCTTTTTTTTTTCATTTTTTAAATGTTTGATTATTTTTGAGAGAGAGACATAGTGTGAGCTGGGGAGGGGCAGAGAGAGAAGGAGACACAGAACCTGAAACAGGCTTCAGGCTCTGAGCTGTCAGCACAGAGCCCAATGCGGGTCTTGAACTCGGGAAAGGCAAGATCATGACCTGAGCCAAAGTCAGATGCTTAACCGACTTAGCCACCCACTTGCCCCAAGCCCATCTGTCTTCTAAAAGTACTTAATCCATGATTTTTCTAAATTCCCAGAGGCAAGATTAACATCCAATGTATCTTCCTAATAGGTGCTCATTGTTTATTGATTCATTCTCCAAGAGTCAGATAAAAGCTAATAAAATGTTTAAATTAACCATATGACTAGAAACACTGTAAATTCACAAAATAATGTATTTATAAAAAATATTTAGGATTGGTTACATAACTGAACAATGGATCCATAAATTAGTAGAAATATAAAAATTTATTGTTAAATACATAATTATAGGAATGATTTGTCCAAAGTAAAAAAAAACAATAAAAAACCCAAAAATCAAAATTCACTTAAAATATAAATATATAATGCAAACTAAGTTACTGCCCATCATATTTTTTTTGTGTGCTTGTTATGAAAAATGTCCACTGTTGTTTCATGACATGGTCTTAAATCAAAATCACAATATCCAAGGGAAAAACGACTCTAAGAAGAGAAGAAAAGAGATTTTTTTTAAATAAAAAAGACCAAAGTTATTTGTTAAAATTGATACAAAAAGTGCAACATACTTACTCATAAGACTATATCCTACCTGTGGTTTCTTAAAATAATCAAGGCCCCTTCCAATCTTAATCATCCATCCATTGTTAAACCTATTGAAACAGTATACAATATTATATTCCAGACATTTAAGTCAGACAGTTATCAAAGGTGTATTATAGTATGTGTCAGCAAAATTTTCTCCTAAGAAAGAAAATCACTTTCTGCAGTGGCATGAGTTGAACCAAACTGGGGGTTACTCATTGGCTGTGTCTACAATGAAATAAAATGTCCAAAGAAACCATTAGTTGATCTGATTCACTGGTAACAAGTTTGTCACATAAATTATACCTTATTCTTGAATTTCAGATCTCTGATAAAACTTTCCTGTTCTGCTAAGTGTATTTGGGTCAGGCTGTGGTGTGTTGCAGGGGATCCCCTACCTAGAGATGGAGGACATAGCAAGAAGAGCTCTGGATCCTGACCTCTGCTTCTACCACAGCAGTGCATTTTCAGCTGTTTTGCATTTAGGTTGTGCTTAAGTTTACATTAAAACTAAAGGTGCACTTACTATAAACATATGAAAGCTATGGTGCTAAACAGAGTTAACATATTACTAAAATGCCTGAATATATTGTTTCCTTGTAGACACTGCAGCGTTCAGTCAGGCCTATGAGATTATTTAATAAACTATAAGAAATACTAAAATCATCAGAATATTAAATATTATCACCAGAAAATTATCCCAATACTCTAATACTATATGTATACTTCAATAGAAAAGTACTTTCTCTTCTCACATGAAATAGAACATGTAAGCTATTCCATTAGGAAATATGAGAAACTCAGACATAGTAAGCCAAATTTTTTCCTAAAAAGTGAAAAGATACTAAAATTGTGCTTTAATTAAAATTTTAATAAACTGAATATATATATGCAATTATATAAAACTCATTAAAAGAAATAAAAAGTGTTTTCAATTGCATAAAAATTAAAATATTGCTATACACTAACCTAATTTCTCGGTCATGTACTGAAGAAGAATATTCTAATTCCAACAGCACTCCATGATTCTTGAGTGACTCTTTTATTTCTTGCAGACCACTACTTTGCTGCTCTTTCCCACTACCCTGTTAACAGGAAAAACATGATTTTCTGTTCAGTTATTAATATTTTAAATTATCACTAAGCTACACAATGTGTATCATAGATGAAATAGGAAAGATTCTATACTAGTTTCAATGCCTATTATCTCAAAGAAGCAACAAAAAGTATGAAGCAGTTTAATAGCAGTTGTTTTTATCAAAATAATTGTTTTTTCCTAATATGTACATAAAACAATTCTGTCCTTTCTCCTAAAATGTATTTTAGTAATGCTACTTAGTTATTCAGATGGGGGTGCTTTCTTCTCAAGTTAATCCTAAAATTCTGGTTTATTTAGAAGCATTCCTATTTAAATCAAAACCAAGACAGAGATGCTCACTCTCAGGCTATGATCCACCAGAAGGTCAATACAGTCAATCAAGAAAAAGAGATATAATCACTGGTAAAGAAGAGACAAACTGTCAATAGTGCAGACAGTGTGATCATTTCCTAGAACTTCCAACCTGAAAACCATTTCAATCAGAGAGTTTAGCAAAATAGCCAAATGCACGATACAACAAAATCAGAAAAATCAATAGCATTATTCTGAAGGTATTTTAGGCCTATTGTTGTGCAGTTCCCAAAGAAATAGCTCTAGCTGAAGCACTGTGTCCACATTTTCCTTGGAAAACTACATCTCCTAGCTGAATAAAGTTCATGAAGAAGGAGTAAATGCTTCTAGATACCTACTTCATCCAGAGAGGTGAGAAGATGAATAGTTTTTACTTTACATGGTCCCTTAATAAGCATCTCACAAAATCGAAGAAAGTTATACAGCTGAAAGACATCATGATGGGTTATTACTAAGTTATACATTTTAAATAACATTTCATCATATTTTTGTACATTTCACCTACCTGATGAATTTGTCTAATATAGGGATCTTGTATCCAAACTTCTGTAACTGTTTCATTAAGGTATTCTTGAAAAAGTGACTCATAACTGAAACCTGTTGCATTCTCTTCTATTTTAATCTGCCTATGATATTTTCCATCTAAAAAACAAATTTCAATAATAAAACCAGTGACCATTTCTTTTTACACAAATTTACATACAGTGATTAATCAGGATCAGATACAAGTTAATATTTGTAACTCCTCTACTCAGCAAACATTTCTGAATGCCTACTACATATATACAAGGAACAATGCAAGATGCTACACATACAGAAATAAATAAGGCAGACAATTCCATAAGTGAGTGCTACCTTCATGAAGGCCAAATGGGAAAGTCCAGAGATTTCTTGGAACAGGTTCTTGAGCTGAATCCTATGAACCAGACAGTTTATTCAAGAGAAGTCTATATGTATAATGACAGCTGATAAATCTGTCACCATGAGTAGAACTATAAGCTATATAACTCAGTGGCTACATGGTCCTTCTCTTCAGCTGGAAGTCTTTTTAGGTCTTGCAATTTAATGGCTAAAGTATTAAACATATAAATACATGGAATTTAGAAGGCTTTCTTAGAACTTAAAAAGTATTTTAATTTTTTTTATGTTTTTATTTATTTTTGAGAAGAACTGGAACAGAGAACAGGAACTGAAGAGGGGAAGACAGGGAGATAGGAACAGAAGTCAGTCCACGCTGACAGCAAAGAGCTAATGTAGGGCTCGAACTCATGATCCATGAGATCATGACCTGAGCTGAAGTTGGATGCACAGCCAACTGAGCCACCCAGGTGCACCATAGAGTAATTTAAGTAGAAATTTATAGCAGTTCTTAACAACCCAAGACTAGGATGCCACAGAATCAGTAAAATAGCTCCATTATTTTTGTTCATTCAAAATGAATGATTATTAAGTTATCAAAGACCTTTAAAAAAGATGGCCCCCTAATGGTAGTTCCTAATTTATGTGATGACTGCAAATTTAAAATTTGTTTAAAAACCAGTAGTTTGAATTTTTTTCCTAATTTTTCCACAGATACAATGTTATTAGCAACTATGCATCCGTTTTCAAGCCAAGCTACCCACATAGGTTAACTTAACCCAATGTATTCAAGCCACAGAGCTGATGGTACTCTATTTCATCAATGTTTTAAAAGGAAATTTCATTGTGAATTTCAATTTAGGGTGAAGGAAACACAATTTTATTCCCACTAAACAGAAGAGCTCGGTGGGGTGGGGGATACTCAGGGTATGGGTTCATACAGAATACTAGGAAGAGGTAGGAGAGGGCTATATAAGGATACTGAGGAAAAGCAGCTGAGGACTGGAGGCACTGGTTTTTTGAGGACAGTAGTAACTTTGGCTAAAAAAGCGGGAGTATGCCAGGTAAAGGTTCCAATGACCATTTGTAGACGTATGTTTGTAAACTGGATGCTCATAAGTAGATTAACTAATAATAAGTAGGGAAGGACAACTATGGCATCTCTAGTCATTAGGAATACTTCACTCCTGAAATGTTTTGATTCACAACAAAATCCTAAAGAAGTCCCAGAAGTTTCCTTAGCTACTTTAACGTTTTGGTCGTTTTATAAAGGGAAATGCAAATAAAAGATAGGATTTACACATCCTATTTCTGTGTAGTATTATTTCAACTGCAGTCCATACATAAGTGTCATGGAGATATGCAGTGAATTCCGTATAACAGCATGCAAAGTTCTGCAGTATGTATAGCTTTCATCAGATTCTCAAGAGGGTGGGTATGTGAAAACCACTTCCCCCACCAAAAAGGGTTAAGAATAGCTTATTTACAGGGAAATGGAATGCAGAATAAACCTATCAGCTCCCAGGGATAAATGGTTCAGACCACAAGGAGTTACAAAGGCAGAGCCAGAAACATTGTATGAAATGGGCTTTGTCACAATTGTTATGGACACATTCTATAAAACAGCCACTTTACCTTCTCTTTCTTGATCCGTGTATTTCTTCACTATTTCTGCTCTATCCATGTAGCTAGAAATCTGTTTTCTGAGATTACATTTCTTTGTAACATCTTTGGTGCCTACAAATTAAAAAATACACTCTCAAATTTCCAAATAGTTTTTCTATTTAGTACCGGCATTATCTCCAGTTTCCCAAGGCTTCCATAATTTCCTCTCCTACTTAGCATGGTTTGCCTCAATCCTCAAATACACAAATGGGCCCAAATTTGGCTTGATCACCAAGACCTCCATTTTTACACTAAACATCTGAAACAGCTTTATTTAGGAGTGGGAACTCTGACACTGTGTCTCACTGCTGGGGATCCCAAATTTGGTGAGGTGATGACAAACATAGCTTATTACTTATCAAATCTGAGCCTGAGAACTCTTTTGTCCTAATCAACCATAAGTCTAAAATCTCAGCATAATGAAAACACAGGAAGCAATACCTATCTTTCTTCCACAAAATCAGCTTCTCTTCCAGACTTCCCCATTACAGTTCATGTTCAGCCAAAACTGAACAGGGGCCCAAAAATATGTCATTTTTTGAATACATATTATCAATAAAATCTTACCCCAAGTCCCATGTACTAACACACACATACATCTGCATTTATTTCTGTGTCTGTCCATCTGTCTGTATATTAAAAATCATAAGTTCATGATGATAACTTTGATCCCACAGCATTCATTCTAGCCCTCCTCATCTCCTTATGTGTAACTTCTTTATTATCCACAATATATGTACTGGCTTATTCAAGTCTCATATAAAGTAGTTTCTTCCTAACCCATACCTCCTGGAGAAAAAAATTTACCAAGTAAAATACAACATTTGTATACTATCCATTTGGTCTTTAACCTTACAGAATATGGTCAAAATACTATTTTCCAAAGATACTTAGGTTACTTATTTTCTTCCCCACCTGCTTATGTATTACAGTTGAATACTTCAGAGAAGTGTTATTCCTTCCTCATCTTGCTACCCCATTCCCATTTCTTCCTTCTTTCTCTTTCCCACCCATCCTACAAACCTCATTAGTGTCTGTTTTTATCCTTCCTTTGTTTCTTTTGAACAAATGAGGAGACACATGAATATCTTTTTTACATGAAGGATAGCATACCATAGATCTCTTTGTCCTTTATAGTTTTCACCTAACAGTGTATCCTGGAAGTCACTCCATATCACTTCCACAGATCCTCCTCATTCTTTTTTACAGCAGTATAGTACTCCATTGTGTGGGTGTACCTTACTTTATTCAACTACCCTTCTGCCCAGGGTACTCAGGTTATTTCCAACATTTTATTGACATCAATATAATTACTGAATTCTTTCCTTTTCGAGTCCTTCTACTTGAAAATTAGTATCATTTAGATCTCTACTTTCTCATGCCTATACTTCAGTAGCTTAAGAAAATCCTAATATATCCATTTACAATCTATAAATCTCTTTTGAGGAATCCTGTTTTTGCTCCTAAGGTGATATGAGAACTCATATTCTCCTACTAGGTTTATATATATTTCTCTAAACTCAAAAACCCTGAACTGTCCTTTTTATCAGGATTAAGCATTTTATGGTCTCTTTTACAAAAAGTCAGTGTGAATAGTGGTTAACAGCAAAGCATCTGGAGTCACACTGTTTTAGTTCAAAACTTTCTGCCAATTTTGGCTGTGTGACAATAGCCAGTTATTCAACCTGTCTGTATCCTCATCTGTAACATGGAAAGAGAAATTGTTCCCTAGACAGTTAGGGAGATGGTTAATGTTCAAAGAGACTAGAATGTAGGAAATAATAAATGTTGTTAGTATCATTATCACCTACATAATTTTTTCCATTCACCATACTCTGGGCTTTCTTTAGAACCAGACTATAACATCTCTTTTCTTAAGTTCCACTGTTACTTTGCTACTGTCTATAAATATACTCTATTTTCCCTGTCCTCTGTAAATAAAGTAGTCCTTCCTTAACTATCACCCTTGATCAGCTGGCAGAATTTGACACTGTAGACCCATTCCTTAAACGTCACATCTCAATTTTCTAGGCTTAAAATCTTACAGCCAGCTTGGGTTCCCACTGGAAACTCACTCCCATATCTAGTTATGTCCTAATGCCAACAATTCAATATCCACACTGTCCCTTCCTTTCCTAATATTGATGTCACCCCTCTAGTTCCTTCAGGCCCTTCTCACCTCTCATCCTGACTCCTGCAGAAGCTGCTCAATTAGTCTGCTTTACTTCAGTCTCTTCAAGTTAGTATCTCCCCCACGCTCTTGCCATATTGACTCATTTATTCAAGAATTATTTACTGAGAACTTACTACATGCCAGACATTGTTCTAAGCACTGGGGATATAGCAGTTAATAAAATAGACACAAGTGTCCTGTCATTCAATGGGAGGAAAGATAACAATAAAAGGAAGTTGGTAAAATATGTATGTTAGATTGTGGTAAGTGCTCTTAAATAAAATAAAACAAGGAAGAAGTGTAAGGGAGTCCTGGGATGGGGTTATAATTTTACACAGGAAGTCAGGAAAGGCCTCACAGAGAAGGTACTATTTGTGTAAACAACTGAAGTATTAAAGGGGGTATGCTATGCAAATATTTGGGAGAACATATTCCTAATAGAGACATGCCCTGACATGCAACTTTAATTATATACTCCTTTGTAAAAACTTTAAATGGTTTCTCCTTGTCTATGGAACAAGTTAAAATCTCCTGGCAGTCAGGTCATCCACACCAAGCCTCAATCTACTTTACTTCTCCCTCTTCATCCATACACACACAATGAACTAGTGACCCACTTATTTGGTAAAACAGCACAGACAAAATTTAAACACTCTTTGCTGAATTTCATTTCTGAAATTCTACTTCTTCCTCAAAAGCCAACTCCACCTTTCCTCCCACAAATGACCGTTAACTATTTAAATCCTCATTGTCTCTCTCCCTCTCTCCTAGCACTTCTTCCCGCTACTAGAGTTATTTGCATCTTTAAAATTTTTTTTTAACGTTTATTCATTTTTAGAGACAGAGAGAGACAGCGCGAGTGGGGGAGGGGCAGAGAGAGAGAGAGAAGGAGACACAGAATCTGAAGCAGGCTCCAGGCTCCAAGCCATCAGCACAGAGCCCAACTAGGGGCTTGAACTCAAAACTGTGATCATGACCTGAGCCGAAGTCGACACTTAACCGACTGAGCCACCCAGGCGCCCCTGCATTTACATCTTAACCTGTAAGATCACGTCAGTGTCTCTATATAACCTCTGTAGAATCAGTAGAGCATACTGGAACAAAACTATGATTCTCCTGATTCAGATTCCCAGAATGCCAGAACTTGAGTAGTGCTCCATCTGACCAAGTGGCAGTCAGTATACCAGCGTCTCTAAAGCCCTGGGTTCCAATTGTGACCCAACTAAATGTGATGGAGCTGAAAAGCTTAATTTTATACTGTAAAATGAGGAAAACATCAGCTCCTACTTCACAGGGCAATTGTAAAGATGAAACAAGATCATGTTGATGTGCTCTGACAATGCCTAGCGCTCAGCACTCATAAATGATAATTACTTTACTTCATAATCATTCATCATCTTCTTATTCTTCATCACCATCACCATCAAATGGGCCTTCCCAAAATAGTTTTACAGCTCTCAAAAAGCGCCCAACCCTTAAGAGCGCCCTCTGCTGTCCAAAAGCTTCTGTAACACTAAAGCTAAAAGGCACAGAAAGCTCATAGGCCAGACTGGGAGCTACAGGGCGTGGGAGCAGGGGCTGGTCTTAAATCAGTTTCATACAAAGTACTGAGTGTCTACTATGTGCCAGAGATTGTACTGGTTGTTAATGGATATCTGCGTACTCAATTCAATATCTCAATATTGAATAACTACATTGACAGATAAAGTCTCGCTGTGCCAACCCACAATCCTATGCATTTCTCACATCGGATTTCAGGACACCCGTTACTTCAGAATTTTATTTTACCGCTATGTGATTTTATTTTTGTTTACTTCTAACGAAAATATCTAAACAGAAAAGTAAAGATAACAGTGTAACGAACACCCTTATTACCGACCACACAGATTTAAGTTCAGACATAATGATAAATTCTTCCCAAGACACTTCAGTCTGCAACTCTAAAAATCCAGGACAGTTTTCGGGAAAACAACAACATACTACCTAACAAAGTCGATAATTTGAGTGTTACCCAATCCATATTCAAGCTTTACAAAAGGATCAAAAAATGTGTTTTTACATTTCTTTCGAACCTGAGTCCTATCAAGGCTTATATATTAGATTTTATTCTGTGTCTTCAAAATCTAGAGTACTGCCCCTTTTTTGATGACATGAATCTAAAAGAAACCAGTCCGCTTGTCCTGCAGAAGATCAACCTTCCGTTTGTGACTGCCTCCCGGTGGTGCACAAGGAGAATTTTCACTCCGCCCCAGACACTGCGGGATCCAGTTCCTTTCCTCTGGTATCCTCTCCACGGCTCCTGCTCACCTCTCAGGACCTGCATGAGCAGGTCAATCCCCTCCTGGTAACACACCAGAGCCTGCTGGTACCGGGACTCGGAATCCAGTTCCACCGCCCGCTTTAGCACCTTGAACGCAGCTGTGCTTTCGACTTCCAGCTCCTGTCTGGAACTCGCCATACTTCCGGGAACTCCTCTCCGCCTCAAACTTAACCAGAGCTGAGCCAGTCGGCGGCCCTCCGGGGAGCGATCATGTGACAGACATGCGCCTGCGCTCTTTTTACGGCCCTTGAAGGGGCGGGACGTGTCCGGAACTAAAGTGCTGGATTTGGCTGTGAGAGCGCCCTGTGGTAACCGGATTTGAGGGTTGCCCTTTGTGCACTCCTGTCTGCTCTGCTTTCCCTCGGTAAGTTCACGCTGAAGAATATTTAAGAGTATTGCATTTTTCTCAGATACCTGGGAACGCCGTGGAGATACGGATTGATTTTCCTGCTGGATTCAGAGTTTGCGGGTCGCTGTAACCTGAGTGGGTCTGGGCCCGTTTTCTGTCCCTTGCGTTCGCGGAAAGCCAGTAGTCGACCGGATCTAGTTTCCCTGTTCCGGAGCCGCGCGGTTTGCTGAGCCCGACTCCTGGAGCCCAAGGGCTGACCAGCCTAGGCAAAATAGTTTAGTAGGGAAGGGAATTCAGGAATGTTGTAGCAGTTTTTGTGCTTCTGTTTAGAACTAATGTCGGCTTCCTACTGGGGATCAGCGTAACTTGAATTTTTGGTTAATGAAGATAAAAACTTGCTAATTGCATCTTAGAAGTCAAAACCTTCCGGAGTTGGCAGTTAAAATATTTACCATTTTACCAAAAGCTGTAATTTTGCAATCATGTTTTTGATAGCCACCTACCCAAAACTGCCTGTTTTGCGTATTTTCGCCAACAGGCGCTGATGAGGATTGTCTGTTACTTGTTAGGCATTAGGAATTAAATGAAGAGACTTTTTTTTTGCCTTCAGAGATCTCGGTTAATTAAAAGGAAAATTCTGCGTTGTGCTTTTCAGTGTTTTCCCTCCTTTTGTCATTAAGTAGATGTCTAAAACTGTTGGGGTATTAACTGGGGCAAAAAGCAGAAAATCCCCTTGGTGGCTTTCCCGCCATGGGTATATTAATATTTTACTGATAGCTTTCATAGTTTTTCTGTGTATACACATACAGTTACATTTTTTAATGGAAAAGGGATCATACTTCTCATAATGCATGTGTTTTCCTACTTGTACAAGAGAAAAGTTACTGTATAGTAGAAGACAATATAGTTGCTTCAAAGCCCAGTAGTTGTGTGTGTAATTATTAACATTAACCTTTACTTTCTATGGAAACTTAAAACTTATCACAGTCACACCTTCTAAAATCTGTAAATTAAACTTAATTCAGCAAAAATTTGGCGTGATGGCGTGCCTACTATATGACAGGTGCTGCTTTTGGTAGATGCTTGGGATACATCTGTGAATAGACAGGGCAGACCAAAAAACAAAACAAAAAACAAAATTTAAAAATCATTGTCCTTGTGGAATTAACATATTACTAGGTGGAGACAGTAAACAACAAACCTAACAAACTATGTTAGAAGATAAAGTGATATGGAAAGAAAATCCAGTGGAGTGAGGAGTGCTGACAGTTGTGGAGGGTCAAAGTGTTAAATAATGGAATCAGGATAGACCCCACTGAAAAGAGATTTGAGCCAAAAATTGAAGGAAGTGAGGAAACTAACCCTGTGAATATCAGGAGCGTTCCAGGAGAAAGAACAGCCAGTCCAGAGGCCTGGCAACTTCTAGGACCTGTAAGGGAGTCAGTGTGTGTATGGAGTGAGCAAGGGAGTAATTGGAGATGAAGTCCTAGAGGTAGGGGTTAAGGACTGGCTGTTGCTCTGAGACATTATTTTTTAATACATAAACTTTTTATTTTAGAATAATTTTAGATTTACAGAAAAGCTGTGAAAATAGTAGAGTTCCTATATACCCCACATCCGATTTCCCCTTTTGTTAACATCTTATATTAGTATGGTACATTTGTTAGACTTGATGAACCAATATTGATACATTATTAACTAAAGTCCATACTTTATTTGAATTTTCTTAGTGTTAACCAGATGTCCTTTTACTGTTGCAGAACCCCATTTAGTAGTCATGTCTCCTTACGCTCCTCTTGACTATGACAGTCTCTCACTTTCCTTGTTTTTGTGACCTTGGACAGTTTTAAGGTAGTCACGTATTTGAAAACATACTCCATCATTTTGATTTTTTAAGTGGTTCTTTTGTAGTGCTACAAAATGCTTAAGGTTCATCTTAATATATCCCCTGCAGTAGCCCTATAAGCAGCCATGTCTCAAAGGAGCCCTAGTTCCTTTTATTAGAGAATGCTAAGATCAGGGTGCTGAGTGTGCTCATTGCTACTGGAATGCCATTACTTTTTGGTCTTATCAGCTAACAGAGCTAACCCATGTATATATACATCCATATCTGTGATTATTTCTGTATCCAGCAGTGTCTACATTAAGCTAAATACGAACTCAAACTCTAAACCTGTGTCATTGGATGACATGGATTATTCTAGGTTTCTCCTCTTATATGTTACCTTTCACTTCAACAGTGAGAAACCTGGCTTATTGGGAGGTTTTGAGAAGAGGAGTTGACATGATTTGATTTGGGATTTTAATGAGATGGTTGCTGCTATGGAGAAGAGATCTTAATGGAAGTTGGAATGGAAACTGGAAGGCCAGTTAGGAGGCTTTTGTTGAAATCTAAGCGATAAGAGAAAATAAAATATAAAGCCAGATGACTTGGGTTAATATATAATGTGTAACTTGGGAGGAAGACGTATGGTAGAGAAAATAATTTGTCATTACCTATTTGATTGGAGGACCAGAGGATTAAATAAGCATCTCTTCTAAGGAAGCCTCAGTACAAAATATATAACATCCAGCCAAGCTATGGCTGATGATTTGAACTAGAAATTCTTATGCTGTATAGTAATCTTTGAAGTATGAGAGTTATGAAATTTTGATGTACTTCTGAATTCTGAGTTGAGCAGACCATAGTTCTAACCCATTAATTGATTCAAACATTCATAAACAAACACTGGGTGCCTACTGTTCATCAGATACTGTGCTAGATGCTGAGAGTAGAAAATGAACAAGATAAAATTCTGGTTTTCATGGCACTAAGGATTTAGTAGTTAACTCTTCTAAAACTGATGCATAATTAATTTTGAGGGACTGGTTCAGCTGCTGAGAGTTTTTCTAAAGTCTGGGTTTTTTAATGGGACATCTTGCATTGATTCCCACAACTTCATTGCTTTGTCCACATCACAGAAAAGGTTGAAGAGCTTGAGTGAGCCAGAATCTGGTGGATTCCCTGAAGTACAGCATTTACCCAGTTTTAGTGTGTTAGGGTATTATTACAGCTTTGTAATAATTTCATAATAGTAAACACTATCATTTGTTGAGGGCTTCCTATGTACTAAAAACTGTTTTAGGTATTTTTAGAATGACTCATTTGAGAGGTAGGTGCTATTCTGTCCTTTTTGGGAAAAAAAGTTGAAACACAAATCAAATAACCTATGAAAAATATACATGTAGTTCATAAACTTCATCTTTCTGCTTTTAGTGTACATCAGTATAATAGGTTGTAATCATTGTCTGAATGAACATGACATTTTTTACATCGTAGAAGCAATGCGTATTCATTAAGAATAGTTGAAAAATACAAATATTCAAGAAAGTTAAAGTTTACTTTTTATTTATTTATTTATTTATTTATTTTTATTTCTAGGAGAGAGAGAGAGAGACAGCGTGAGCAGGGGAGGGTCAGAGAGAGAGGGAGTGACAGACTCTGAAACAGGCTCCAGGCTTTGAGCTGGCAGTCAGCACAGAGCCCGACGCAGGCTCGAACCCACGAACCGCGAGATCATGACCTAAGTGAAAGTCGGATGCTTAACCGACTAAGCCACCCAGGCACCCCTAAAGTTTACTTTTTAACAGAAAGGCATTATGATTTAGTGAAAATGCACCGGAGTAGAAATTATAAGAATTGGGTTCCAGACTATATGCTTCTTGGATAAGCTGGATGCCCTTGGGTAAATGATTGAATTTCATTTTCCACATACATAGGATAAGGTTGTCAATTCTAGACGCACCTGGGTGGCCCAGTAGTGTAGCATCCGACTCTTGATTTTAGCTCAGGTCATGATCCCAGGGTTTTGGGCTCTGTGCTGAGAATGGGGATTGTTTGTGACTCTCTCTCTCCCTCTGCTCTTCTTCTTCTTTTTTTTTTTTTTTAAACATTTACTTATTTTTGAGAGACAGAGCATTAGCAGAGGAGGGCAGAGAGAGAGGAGACACAGAATCTGAAGTTCAGAATCTGAGCTGTCAGCCCAGAGCCCGACGGCGGGGCTTGAACTCATGAACCGCGAGATCATAACCTGAGCTGAAGTCTGCAGCTTAACCTACTGAGCCACTCAGGCGCCCCTCCCTCTGCCCTTCTTACTTAGTCACTCTCAAAATACATAAACAAACATTTTTTTTCTTCTTCTTTTTCTTTTTTTTTTTTTTTTTTAAAGAAGGTTGTCAATTCTAGATCTGGGAGTCTGGATTTCTTCAGTCCCTTCTAGTCCTTTCATTTTTGTGATTCTGTTACAAAACATTATTAAAAAGTTTTTTTTTAATGTTTATTTATTTTTGAGAGAGAGAGACAGAGTGTGAGTGCGGAAGGGGCAGAGAGAGAGGGAGAGGGAGAGGGAGACACAACATCTGAAGCAGGCTCCAGGCTGTCAGCACAGAGCCGGGCACAGGGCTTGAATTCACAAACCACTAGATCATGACATAAGCTGAACTTGGACGCTTAACCGACTGAGCCACCCAGGTGCCCCTATGACAAAGCATTCTTTATCTGCGCTCTTTGTTGAAGAAGATAAATAGTAGTAACCTCCTTTGCCCATTTTTCTTGAATCAATGTTGTTTCTAACTCATCTGTCAAAAAATGGGATGTAATTAATGTATAATTACCACCTATGGTTTTGCTGAACTCTGAATGAAACATTTATTATAACTTAATTCTTACTCTTATTGTATTAAAATAACTAAGATTTTACTGTTAAACTTCAATCAAGTTTATAATTAACTTGTTTCATTTTTTAATAATACAGAAGTAGGCACCCGTCCATTTCCAAGACATATTTGACCCATGGATCTATTTTATGCTTGTCATAGCCTTTGAAGAGAACAGCCACCACACTCATGGCAGGGATTTTGCGCTCATTAGTTCAGAGACCCCCAGGTGGACTCCAAGTAAGTATTTCTTTTCGAGTATTATCCTTTTTTTTTTTATTCCTTAAGAGCGATTTCTCTTTTGTAAGTAACAAAACAAACAGGCAAGTTAAACTGTACAAGTTCCTTTTTTTAATATATTATGGGTTTTTTTTTTTAATGTTGAGGGTCAGTTTTATTTATGATTTATCTGCAGATTTTAAATCACAGAGATTTAAAATCACAATTTAAATCTTTGTGATTTAAAAATCACAAAAGTTCTTTTCCTGGAGAACATGCTGGTAAGAAATGGTCGGTGTTGATTGCCCTTAATCTTTTTTTTAAGTTTTAGGTTTTTTTCCCTTCAACTATTAAAAGAGTATATTTTCAGTCATAGAGAAATATATGGAAGAGCAGAAAGAAGAAAAGCACTCTCCCAGATATCATTCCTATTTCTTCTGTTGTTTCTTAAAGAAATTGTAGCAGTGCAGCCTAATCCATTCATAAGACCAGAGTAGATACAGACCTGCTGCTGGGCATAGATAATAATGTTAGATGCTTTACATACATTGCTTTAACCTTAGATTAATCCTGTGTGGTCAGTAATATTTCCTTCTTAAATAGCTAAGGAAATTGACTCTGAGAGGATAAGAGTCTCATTTCTCAAAGACGATAAGCACAGAACCAGGATTAGAAGCCCATGTTTTTCCTTTCCCTCCCTCATTCACTCCTACTTCCCATCAAGTTGTTTGTGGATCTCTGCTGAACAGAGAGGACATTAGGAAGGATTGGCAGTGAATCCTTTTTCTTTAGCAGACTGAGAGCAACAGGACTGGAAGATTGTAGAAAGGGAATAAGAAATAGGAACTAGGAATGTTGACATTGTAGGGTCTAGAAAGAAAACTGGCAACTCATTTTCTTTTACGTTGTATTGTTGAAGGTGAATTATTGCACATTGTCTAAAGTAAGGCTGGCAAGCTGTGGCCGGCGGGTCAAATTCAATCCACCTGTTTTTGTAAATCAAGTTTTATTAGAACAGCCACACCTACTTGTTTACATATTGTTTGTGGCTGCTTCTGCCCTACAGTGGCTGAGTTGAGACTTGGCAATGGAAACATAATAGCCCCAGAGATGGAAATATTTCCTGTTTGGTCCTTTATAGAAAAATATTGCCAACCCTGGTTAAGAAGTCTCTATTTGACTTGTATGTGGAATTTAAGAAACAAAACAGATGAACATAGGGGTAAAAAGAGAGACAAATCAGAAAACAGACTCTTGACTATAGAGAACAAACTGAGGGTTGCTGGAGAGGAGGGGAGCAGGGGGTGGGCTACATGGGTGATGGTTACTAAGGAAGGCACCTGTCGTGATCAGCACTGGGTGTTTATGGAAGTGATGAATCGCTCAATTCTACACCTGAAACTAATATTACGCTGAATGTTAACCAATTGGAATTTAAAAGCTTGGGGAAAAAAAAGAAAAGTCTATATGTGCTGTTAGCTTTGTAATGTTAGTGGTAAGATGAGATGTATTCATTCAGCTAAGGGGCTGAGATAAATATTTGATAATTATAAGTTAGGTAAAAACAAACTTTTGTCACCTAAAAATTGGTGAGTATAGATTTCTGCACTAGCCAGAGTTTTTAAAAAAGTGTTTTCTATCATGTTTTAGACTGTAACAAAAGGTGTGGAGTCTCTCATTTGTACAGATTGGATTCGTCACAAGTTTACCAAGTCAAGAATTCCAGATAAAGTAAGAACAAGGGTTTGGGGGGGGGGGAGCTTAGCATTACTATTTTTTTAAGCATGTTTTGTTTTAAAAGGTAGCTACTTGTGTAATATTGAAAACTTCTACTTTGAATTATTTGTGGATATTTATGGTAGTGTAGAGTTTAAATAATGCACAGTGGAATTGATGTAAATAATGATTCTTTAAAAAAAAAAAAATGTGCCACTAGCCTTTGAAGTAGTGGGGTCTTACCATCTTAGAATCTGTTTATTCCTGCTTATGGTTTTTGCCTTAATATTTTGTGTTTTCATATCACCATTGTCTTCAGAAAACGGTGGGTCTTCTTCCAGCTCGGACTCTGTCTTTGTGGTTCTTTGTGTTCACTTTCTATATTGACTGTTGCAACTTGGGATCTTTGTGTTTTCTTTGCTAGATTTATGTGTACATATCATTCTTTCGGAAAACACTGGCTAACCCCCCCTATTGACTTTTGTTTTATTTTGTTTAAATGAATAGACTTTATTTCTTAGAGAAGTTTTTGGTTTATAGAAAAACTGAACAAGAAGTACAGAGAGTTCCCATATACTCCCTCCCCTAATATATATAGTTACTCTATAATTAACATTTTGTATTGGGGTACATTTGTTAGAATTGATGGACCAGAATTGACAGATTATTATTCACTAAAGTCCTTAGATTGCATCAGGGTTTACTATCACTGTTAAACATTCTATGGCTTTTAACAAATGCACAATGTCCTGAGTCATTAGGGTATCACACAAACAGTTTTACTGCTCTAAAAATCCTCTGTGCTTCATCTGTTCATCCCTCCCTCTCATCTCCCAACCCCTGGCAACCATTGATATTTTTACCGGCTGTATAGTTTTGCTTTTTCCAGAATGTCATATCGTTGGAATCATGCACACATAATCTTTCTCACTGGCTTTGTTCACTTAGCAACATGCAGTTAAAGTTTCTTGATGTCTTGCCACCATGATCGCTAGCTTTTTGTTAACTCTAGTTAAAAGAATAATAAATCATGAGGTAGCTGAAACATATCTGGGTAGAATTAAGGAAAAACATGAATTTGAAAGATCGAGTTATGTTCCATTAAAGTGGATGGGGACTCAGAATTGAAACAAGTTTCTGGAAATAGTGAAAGGTGCATTTTTATAACCTGAGTTGTGTGGCTACGCAGCTCATTTCTTTTTATTACAAATAATATTGGGTTGTATGGATGTACCATAATTTGTTTAGCCATTCACCTCCTGAAGGACATCTTAATTGCTTCCAGTTTTTGGCAGTAGTGAATAAAGCTGCTGTAAACATTTGTGTGCAGGTTCTTGTGGGGACATAAGTTTTCAACTCATTTGAGGTAAGAACCTAGGAATGCAGTTATGCAGTTGATGGAATATATCGAAAAGACTACATTTAGTTTTTAAAGCCTGGTTTTTTGTGTGTGTTTTCCCCCTAGTTTTTTTGTATTGCATTGAAATATATATACAGTGTACTGTCTCAACTATTTTTAAGTGTACCTTACAGTGTTATTAAATGCATCCATATATATTGCTGTGCAGTCATCACACCATCTCCAGAACTTTTCATCTTCCAAAACTGAAACTCTGTACCCATTAAATAGTAACTCCCCATTCTCCTTTCCCCAGCTCAACAACTGCCATTCTCCACTGATTTGTCTTAAAGATAAAATAGAGTTACCATTGACTATTTTGACACCTTTCATATGCTTGATGTTCTTATATCAGAAACCTCTTTGTTCTTCAAGTCATGGCTTTTCTGCTGCTGTCCTTTCCACAACTGCATTGTCTTGTATCTTTTCATGTATCTTAGTCTGTAAAGTTCTGGAATAAAAGAATAGATACAGACATTAGCATTCCTTTAAAATGTGCAAGGTGGTGATTTTGATTGCCAGCTATAGCAAATGTGAAAACTCAAACTTCGTGGAAATGACTCTGAGCCCTTGCTTATCTTCTAAACGTAGTCCTGTATTCTCACATGTTCCTAGACCTTGCTTCTTGGATAATGCAGAGGTATTTCATGTTAAACTTATCTAGAATCAAACCCATCATCTTACTTTCCCTCCAAACAACTGAATGAAATAGGATGCTCCTCCTGTATTAGTTATGTCAGTTAATGCTACCATCCTTTACCTGATTTCCCAAATCAGGGAGGAGCCACCCCTCCTTTTCCTCCATTCATCACAAATGCATCTTTTTTACTGTCCAAAGTCCCCAAACGAGTCCCTTTTCTGTGTGTGTGTGTGTGTGTGTGTGTGTGTGTGTGTGCGCGCCCGTCCTTCCTTGGTCTGATTTCCCAGAGGTGGTATGACTCGACCTAATGTCTTTGAGACCTTTATACATACATAAGTGTATGTAGATACACACATGTATATTACATGATTCTTAGAATCAGTATTTATGCAGTGTATCCTGTATATACGCTCATGTATGTGGTACAGGTGAAATAAATACAAGATCCTACTAAACATAGTGGTGTGGAATTACTTTTTTCTCAAGAATATAATGGCCATTCTTCAATGCTGTAGCTGCTAAGATAGTAAATCTTACTGGTTTTGATGGCAGCATTCTACCCCATGGGATACATCATAATTTATTCAGTTGTATCGTATCTTATTGGTTTTATTATTATTACTAGTTTTATTTCAGATCTATCCTTGTAATTCCATTTAGTTATTCTATGAGGAACATGGATGTGGCCTTTAAATTCTTCAGTATTACAAAAAAACTTTTAAAAACAAATAATATTACCGCGTACATCCTTATTCAGTACATTTTATGTACTCAGAGAAGTTTTTTGTGTGATAGCTTACTAGAACCTTTTGATTTTTTAGAAAATCAGTACAAATGCAGCTCCATGGAGCTGGTTCTGGCCCTTTGTAGGCAATCATTTGTCTGTACTAACACATAGGCATGTGTTATTGTCATTGTGAGCTTATCTTCCTTTCCCTGGCTGAATGGGGTGGAGGGATGCAGCCTTGCCGCACGTATATGGTGCTAATACAGTCTCCTGCATCGGAACTCTTTCATGTCCTCTGGTCACTCCTGCTTTGCTCTTAAACAAAATGAAACAAAACAGTCTTTGCCTGTATGATATTTTTTTCAGAGTATGAAATCCTTAGACTTTGTCTGAACAGTCAGTTTGAAGATGAGGATTTCAGAAAGATTGGGGATGAGATTGTTATGTAGATGTTGGGGGCTGGTTAAAAAAGAAAAAAGATATATAGAAACTGTGTAATTGAAAACTCAACCTTTTATAATTCTTCTTTCCTAGGTATTTCAGCCTTCACCTGCAGATCATGAAAAATATGGTGGGGATCCACAGCAGCCTCATAAACTACATATTGTTACTAGAATAAAGAGTACAAAAAGACGTCCATATTGGGAAAAAGATATAATAAAGATGCTTGGATTAGAAAAAGTAGGCAACTGTTTAAGTCCTCTTAAGTTAGTTGTTTAAATTTGCTTTAAATTTTATAATTTTTAAACTTTAACGGATATTTTTATTATCTCTTTCATTTAAATGTATTATTTGATGGAATTTTTTTAATTTTTTTTTTTTTTTTTTTTTAATTTCAAGGAGAGAGAGAGAGAGAGACAGTGTGAGCAGGGGAGGGTCAGAGAGAGAGGGAGTCACAGACTGAAACAGGCTCCAGGCTCTGAGCTGGCTGTCAGCACAGAGCCTGACGCAGGGCTCGAACCCACGAACCACGAGATCATGACCTAAGCGAAAGTCGGACGCTTAACCGACTAAGCCACCCAGGCGCCCCTTATTTGATGGAATTTATTTGAAAATTTGATTCAGACAAAATGAGCCTTCACCTTAACATTTCACTGTAACATGGAACTGTCTGCTTTGAAATTGATCCATAACACTGTTTCCTTTGTTTATAGGCACATACTCCTCAAGTTCACAAGAATATCCCTTCAGTGAATGCAAAACTGAAAGTGGTTAAACATTTGATAAGGTTTGTTGTTCGTTACTTCAGCTATTTAAAAAGATTTATTACCTAGTGTAATTCTAAAGGCCGTTTTCTTATGTCACAGAATCAAGCCCCTGAAGTTGCCACAAGGACTTCCAGCAGAGGAGGACATGTCTAACACGTGCCTCAAGAGCACTGGGGAGTTAGTGGTGCGGTGGCATCTAAACCCTGTAGATCAGGAAGCAGTTAAGTCCTAATGCCAGAGCAGGGTCATATTGAAAAATGTGCATCATTTTTATTTAAAGATAGAAAATGTTCTCATTAAAATATATTTTAAATACTTGTCATTTTCACTGGCTGAAGATGGTGTGATTTCTTCCTTGTATAGGTTTGGAGGTTTCAGTGCTCGTATTTGATTTAACTCTCTTTTCTGTCTGATAGTTTCACTGCAGAATGGGCAGGAATGGCATTGTTTGAACATCTGGGTTCGGATGTCACCTTAGCAGTCACTACTGACTTGTTTAAAATATTGTTTTTTCATTGAATGCAACAAATTCTGTGAGTGTCTCTTTGAGTGAGCATTGCGTTACGTGTTGGAGAAATGCAAAACCGACCAGAACATGGTCCCTACCAGTCAGGAGTGTAATCTGTCTTGCTAGAGAACAGAGATTCGGCCACAGTCATTAAACATTGGGTGTAGCTAGATTGACTGCTTTGTGCTCTGGTGTCTATAAATGCACATGTAGAGTTGGCTGCATTTTGTTCTTTAATTCAATACCAAAAATAGTATCTGTTTTCTAATTATAAATCTAAATTGGCCCAAATTTTATTGATGTTCTTTGAGTTCCTAAGAAACCTCTGCCAAAGGTTGAGGTGATATTTGAAAGATGAAATAGGGAGAAATCTTTTAGGGAGAATTGTTTTATTTCCTTTTTTTTTTTTTTTTTTTTTTTTTCCTATTTCAAATACCTGGAGGGGTTGGGAGAAGGAAGAATTGTAGGAAAGGTTCAATGGTGGGAAGTTTTGTGGCAGCTAATCAAAGATGATGGTGAAGAATCTCTGAATTCTAGTTGCTTGTTATTTCTCTTCGTCTCTTGTGAGGTTTAGTTTGGGCAACAGTAACATTGGCGTACTTCTCAAAGTTTGTGGTCCCAATATTTATCCTGTCGTAGGTCTTGATGTTTTAGGGCATGCAGAAGTGCTACCTGAAATGAAGCCAGTTATCATTAATTATTTTTTTTTTTTAATTATTTATTTCTAGGAGAGAGACCGTGAGCAGGGAAGGGTCAGAGAGAGAGGGAGACACAGACTCTGAAACAGGCTCCAGGCTGGCAGTCAGCACAGAGCCCGACGCGGGGCTCGAACCCACGAACCGCGAGATCATGACCTAAACGAAAGTCGGACGCTTAACCGACTAAGCCACCCAGGCGCCCCCAGTTATCATTAATTATTAAGCTTGAATGCAATTACAGTTTCAATTCAACAATTACTAAATATCCAATATGTGTAAGGCCTGGAGGAGATCTAAAGCCAAAGGAGACTAACTTCAGAGAGCTTGTTCTAGTTGGAGAGAAACCTGTATGCTACAAAATGTGTCCTTGATAGAGGTGGTTTGAGGATAACTGTGTTAATAAAAGCTGGTCCCTGCTGATTTATTGTTGTAAGGTTGAGATAACAGAGGGTGGTGAACCAAAAACAGTCAAAAATGAGACAAAGGAGTCAAGGGAATGGGCTGAGCACACCTTTATTATAAAGAGCTCTCGGGGTAGGTTCCGTGGCTTGAGGGTAGAAGCAAGCCTGGGGGTAGAAGCAAGCCGGGAAGTCGCACCCTGAGACTGGGGACAGGGGTATATATAGGATTGTAGTTCTGGGTCGTGACCATGAGGGCAGGTTTCCTTATTTGGTCTCGCTTTTCCTGGGTTGGGTTTCGTTTCTGCTGAGGTGACATGTCTTCTGAGAAACCAGTGGCAGGAAACTAGGAGCGGGAAGCTGGTGGCGGGAAAGTCCTGAGGCGGTCATAAGATGGAGTCCGATCCGCCATCTTAGTGTCTTTTTCCAGACCTGTCAGACCCGCCATCTTGGTGTCCTTTCCCAAACCTGCCAGACCTGTCAGTTGTCATCTCTTTCACTCTAATATTAATATTGTTTAAAATGGGGAAAAGAACATTGGTTAATTTTTACCCAAAGATTCTAATAAAGTTTAGGTAAGTAATTTTAACCTCAACAGCCCATGACTAGACTTAAGCCTATGACTTAAATGTTAAGTTGAATATTTGGAAGTGAAATTGTCTAGAAGAAAAGTCTATAGGGCAAACATTCATAGGCTAGTGCATTAGTTTTCTATTGCTGTGTAACTAATTACTGCAAACCCAGCTGCTTAAAGCAATACACATTTATCACCCCACTGTTTCTGTGGGTCAGAAGTCAGGGCTTAGCTGGGCTTAGTCTGCTTATGGTCTCACAAGGCTGCGTCCTCCTCAAAGCCTTGACTGGGAAGGGATCTGCTTTCAAGCTCTCTAATTTCATTTGCTTGTGATTCTAGGATTCATGGCAAGTTGTTTCTTCAAACCCAGTATTGAAGAGAGACCAGCTAGATGTATGCTGATGAGGCAGCATAAGGCAAACTGACAGGCCACAACCCCACCCCCAAACCAGGTGGGATATGTGTGATATTTCTTGGGTACTCCTGGCTGCCCAAGAACAAAGGAAAGAGGCAAAGGAAAGAGGAAAAACAAATGCTCAACGGATAGAGTTAAATAGTCCCTACAGGACCTAAATCCATCACCCTTCCATAGTGATGTGGAAAACAAAGGCAGAAGGAAATGGCATATAGACAAATACTTGAGGCTGCAACCCATTGACAAATACTTGAGGCTGGCAGAGTAAAATACTTCTCCAGGAACTCCTAACTATCATAATGTTAATGCTTTGCTAGAGGGAAAAACAACCATAGTTTGACAATAGCTAGGCTTCCAGTATCCTTTGAATCTTCTTTAGCATATGAAAATCTCACTAAAAACTTCCGCTGGTCTTTACCTCCCTCATCTCCACAGTGTATAACCTGGTCCTGGTCCTGGACAGCTCTTCCTGCCCACAGGTCCTGTCCCTCTGCTTCAATAAAAATCACCTTTTTGCACCAAAGATGTCTTCAAGAATTCTTTCTTGGCCGTCAGCTCCAGACCCTGTGAACCCCACTGGCACCCTCAAAAACCTTATCATGTGCTACACTCTCAGATAATCATGCAAATGCGGTCACGTACATTAACATCACCTTTGTTGCATTCCATTGCTTAGAAGCAAGTCATAAGTCCAGCCAAACTCAAGAAAGAGGGGAATTACAGAAATGTATGACTGCCAGGAGGCAAGGGTCCTGGGGGCCTCCTTAAAGATTACCTGCAAGCTCGGTAAGTCCATCCCCAACCTGGACCCATGGAAATCCCCATATTAGCATTCCTTTTTTTCATATCATTTCAAATCCTTTTAAGGACTTCTTGCTTAGTTTTGTCTTTGGGTCTCTGAGAATTGCTCTATTTAATTTCAGCTGCCTTGTTTTAGGAGGTTTTGTCTGGCTTCTCATTGGTGACCATTGGCATTTGGTCAAACTCCCGGAGATGAAGTTACCTGAGCACTAGCACTACCTTTAAGGACCGTCCCAGTTCTCTTGACTCTTCTCAATATAAAACTGCACCTCTTCCAGGGGCATCTTTTGTCGTCACAATACTAATACTTAGCATTCCAACTAGCACAGCTACCAAGAACAATTTGGAATTGTACTGGCCATTTTGAGGAGCTTTTGACACAAATAATAAGATAGTGCATTTAGGAGGTACCTTGCAACAAAAAAAGTGAAGAAATCCCATGAAATTACTTGTCTTGGTTTTCTAAAATGAGATAATTTTAATATAGGTGGTATTCTTTCCTTCCCGAACTTCCAGAATTAAGTACTGGCTTTTTGATCACAGTTTGATAAAATTTTCAAGGGTCCAAGTTCCTGTCTAAACCATCTTGTCGCTCTCTTTATATGTGTATACACATCAAAACTTGTTTTCTGCATCTAAACTTTTCTCTCTTGAAGTGCCTGAGTGGCTCAGTTGATTCAATATCCTACGTTGGCTCAGGTCATGATTCACAGTTCATAAGTTCAAGCCCCACATCAGGCTCTGTGCTGACAGCTCAGAGCCGGGAGCGTGCTTCAGATTCTGTGTCTCCCTCTCTCTGCCCCTCCCTCACTCATGCTTTGTCTCTCTCTCTCTCTCTCTCTCTCTCAAATAAATAAACATTAAAAACAAATTTTTCTTAATAGCTGGATAATTCTTCATTTTCTATTCTCTAATTTTCTTTGTTGTATGGAGAAAAAATTTGTTGGTCACTTAAGTTAAAAATAATATAAACAGTGTTAGGAATGTTATATAATATACTAATTGTTAACACTGTGTATTATAAACAATATAAATCAGGTACAGTAACCACAGAGAAATACAAATATGTATATAGCATAATGAATATGATTTTCTCCTTATTAAGATGGTAAATTTAATATGTATCCTCTTTTTTTTTTTTTTTTTTTAATTTGAGAGAGAGCGAACACTCACACAAGAGAGAGCAGGGGAGAGAGAGGGAGAATCCCAAGCAGGCTCCATGCTGTCAGCACAGAGCCCAAAGCTGGGGCTCAACGAACCATGAAATCATGAATGATGAAATCATGGCCTGAAATCGAGAGTTGCACGCTTAACTGACTGAGCCACCCAGGTACCCCTACATCTTTTACTTAATATACTTATAAATTCTACTTTATTTTTTTTAAAGGTTATTTATTTTGAGAGAGAGAAAGTGAGGGGCAGAGAAAGAATCCCAAGCAGGCTTCATGCTCAGCATAGAGCTGGAGGCAGGGCTAGATCCCATGACCATGGAATCATGACCTGAACTGGTATCAAGAATCAGACACTTAACTGACTGAAGACACTCAGGTACCCCTGACAAATTCTATTTTAAAGCTATAGATATAAGCTTTAGGTTTACTAAATATAAACGTCCATACCTAAATACATATAACAAATGTATAACAAATTATTGCAATCGGCGCATGAATGATGTAAAATAAAAGTAAAAATCAAATTTGAGTAAACCAAGGTATTTTTGCCTAAAGACTAATTATTTCCTGTTTTATTTTTAAATTTTTAAAATAAGCTTATTTATCTTGAGAGAGCACGAGTAGGGGAGGAGAAGGGAGAGGGGGAGAGAGAATCCCAAGCAGCCTCTGCACTGCCAGCTCAGAGCCCAATGTGAGGCTTGAACTCACGAAACCCAAGATCATGACCTGAGCCAAAATCAAGAGTCTGTCACTTAACCGACTAAGCCACCCAGGCACCCCTTTTTCCTATTTTAGATACTTATCACATATCTTCTCCTCTTTCAAAACTAGTCATGATTTTGCCTTTCCCAAAATGATAACCAAATTTGAAACAGTAAAATTATTAAGATGCATTTTATTCGTAAACTATCAATGGATTTTCTAAACCAGCCATCAGAGGGGTGCCTGGGTGGCGCAACTGGTTAAGTGTCTGACTTCAGCTCAGGTCATAATCTCGTGGTCCATGAGTTTGAGCCCCGCGTTGGGCTCTGTGCTGACAGCTCACTGCCTGGAGCCTGCTTTTGATTCTGTGTCTCCCGCTCTCTCTGCCCCTCCCCCACTCATGCTCTATCTCCGTCTCAAATATAAACAATTTTTTTTTGAAAATTTACATAAAGATAACAAAGATTTGCTGTTCACCACATAAAAGTAAAAGCAGTAGGGATAATTGTCTAAAAATTCTCCAAACTTGAATTCAAAATGATTATGAGCATTTTTTGTCTACCAAACTTAGTATTGACAGAAACCTGACAAGTTAAAAAGACTTGATCTCTCTTGATTGATTACTTATATATAAGTAAAGTCTATTCAATATCTTTTAATAA